ACCTTTAAATTATTTACACTTGCTCCAAAAATAACACACGCTGTTGTAAGCTAAAAGTCCATTGTCACACTTACCCCAAATCGACGGGAAAAAAATTTAACATAATTTACACATGTTACGAACGTGCCCAAATTTAAGTATATATAGTAAAGTCCGTAAGCATTTTAGGAAAAAAAAATATCATGACTTAAAACATCTCCTAAATCATGCAAAATATGTCATAAAAATCATCTAACTGAAAACTAGTTCACACTTCGATGGTTTCACCTTATTGAAAAAGATAAAAAAGAATCTTTTTAGTCTCTATATACACCGTTCACCATCTTATAAGCTTACGATATACCTAAGTATAGTAAAACATTCCACTTACATTTAGGATCAATATTCTTATTTGCTATTATAACGTATATCACTTAATCAAAATTCTTCAAAAAATGTAAACACAAATAATTAATTTAATTTAAAAACATTTCGGAAAATAATTATTTAATTCAGCTCACTACTTGACATACTCGCCGTTTATTCATTTTATTATTTGTAATTATACTTATTAAATATTTCTTAAGTATCGTCAAGTTTAACAAAAATTCTTTAACTACAGATTTTACCCACTTCTAGAGTTCATGTTTCTTTTGTGAATTAAAGTATGGCTGCTGTAATATTCTTCTATGGTTTCGATAGTTCGTTTACCTCGCTCTGAAACTTAATACTCAGAATTTTATCCGATATGTGAAAATAATTGATACTAGGTTTACTTAATTATATAGGGTAATCAGCCGACTGAAAGCTACAGAGTGACTGAAGAAAAGGAAAGTCTCTACCTTGGGAGGTGTGTGTCACAAAAGCGGGTGGTACATTCCTAAAATGCTGAATAGAACAAGGTATCGTGATATACAATTTTAAAGTTCATTTATTTATCTTTTTAAAAATTTTAATTTTTCAAAAATCTTAAAAACTTGCAAAAATGTGACTCAAAATTGCAGGTAAATATTTTAGAGCTTTGTTTGTTTCTGTAAACGTTATCGTTGATCATCAATTGTTTCTGTAAACGTTATCGTTGATCATCAAAATTGTATACAATATTCAACAAAAAGTTAATTTTTTTTGAATTTCAACTAAAATTACATGTATCCAAAAATAAAGAATAAGTAATTTGTTTGTTTACAGAACGTGTATGAGACTCTTCCAGTGGAGGGTTTTTTTTATTTAGCAACTATGAAAGTTGACAATTTATTATGCGTAGTTTAATTTAACAGTATGTAAGTTAGAAGCAATAAAATAATAAAACATCACCACAATTACATATCACATATTTAAGGTAGAATTGAAAATACAGTTGGTTTTGCTTAACCCTAGATTACCGGACTATCATAAATTTTACTACCTATTAAAAATGCCTTGTAATTACAAAACGTATATTCAAGATCTGAACAAGAGAGTTTTTATCACTATAATAACATATTTTAAACGAATAAAAAATAGAATTGGTTACTCTTTTAAACACTCGGTGCAAATTTTTCCACGATGCTTACCGCATATCGCATGCTTGCATACTTGGCAATATGTAGTTGTCATTCGCCGTTTTTGGCTTTGACAATAAAAGCAAATTTTTTTGTCCTTCTTGATATGTGGGAACTTCTGCAGCAGGTATCTTTAAAATGTGAGCTATATCGTGACGAATATTTGGACTCAAAGAAGCGGTTGCGAATCTTTGTCTCATCCATGGTTCCGCAAGAGACTGGCTCAAATTACCAAGAGATGGGCTTTTTACCTCGTTTTAATGTGTTGTATGTAAAAATGACGTAGGAATTATTACTGGCTATAATAACCATATCATAAAATACACACACCGGCCATCTTAGGGTTTTCCTGTTACAGCTCATATTGAAACACATTTGGTCAAAAGTATCTACACCTGATCTTGTGTTATTGTATTTTTTTTATAATTACAGGCTTGCCTGTTTCTTCTGATACTTCTGCTGTTTCGTGCAAAGTTGAAAGCAGTAAAACTAATTTCTGTTGTTTAGGGACGTAAGATAACAAAGTTTTCTTCTGATCAAAACAAAACATCGAAGAGTTTGCATTTCGATCTTTTAGTGCCAACATCTCTGTGAGAATTTCTTTTTTGTTTTTTTTCGAAGAATATCTAATGCTGTTAATTTATATGACTCTTGTAACAGTTCATCGACTAGTTTCAATGACGTAAACCAGTTGTCCATGATTACGTTCCGATTTGATCCATGGACAGATTTTGTTAGTTCTTGCAGGCAAACCATCTACTGAAGGAATCACATAACATAATAATCTTAATCCCGTACTTTTAAGGTTTATTGGGGATGTATATCCTGAAAGGGCATATTCCCCGGAATCCTAGCAGTTACTCATCAATTGTAAGATATAATGATGGAGTATATGAAGTGCGGCATTTTTCAATGAAAATATCCCCTATTTCGCGGATATGAGTGAAAGGATCATTTACTTGTCTCTCTTGCCTTGTTTGCTTTTCGTCAAATCTTATACAATTTAGTAGAAATGTAAAGCGATTACAACTCATACACGCTCTGTAAAACGTTCCTGAAATGGAGGTGTTGAACATATATTTTGCAGATATTTTTTTGTGGCAAAAAGGACAAGAATTGCAAGTAAGGCTCTTAATTCTTCAATTGATATTTGACACATTTTCATGATTATTATGTTTCTCAGCTTGTCTTACAATTTCTGCATTTGTATGTTGCAAAATAATTTCAAATAGCGTGTTTGGAAAGAAATGTAAGAAGTTTTCATTAAAAGTATTACAGTTTTTAGCGGTACCTCTGGGACCTGATACGAAGTGAATAAGATTCCTTGCAGCTGTCCTTCTTAATTTATGGGGAACTTCGGTCGACCACTTATGACCATTACCGTCGACCACTTATTACCCTTAAAACTTCTTTTTGTTGGTTTGATTTTCCAGATATCCACTACATACTTTGATTTTCCAGATATCGACGTAGAAACTTTTTTAATGTCCGAAACGGCATCTTGCCCTGTCGGTTCATTAGAACAAGGAGATACAATCAAATCTTCGATAGCTTCAATATCGGAGTGTGAAGATTGTATCTCCAGATTATCTTCTTCAGTCGCTGCCACTTCTTCCAGTTCTTTTTCTGTCAGTGGCTTTTGGAATCCATTTACTGAAATCCAAAATATATTGTTCTGAAGCTATTTCCTTAAGGCATCTTATGTAATTTACCATTTTATATGTGAATAAAGTCACAATGTTAATTTGAAATTAATTTATTTGACGTTTCGACTTCCACTTCGGAAATTGTTATCCAAATACCGATTACAAAAAAAACTGGATTTCTAAACTGGAAGTCGAAACGTCAAATAAATTAATTTCAAATTAAAATTTTGGCTGTATTCCCAAATAAAATAGTAAAGTCCAAAATTTATATTTAATACAAAATAAAATAATAAGCTAAAAACTTACCTCTATGAAATTTATTCGAAGACGATAGAAATACATATGTCTAAATTTAAAGCCAAGTTGTTTTCTTTTGGTAAATATGTGCTTCTGTCAGGTTAGTCGCCTGTCAGAATGAATACCTAAGTATTTTGTGTCGTTTGCCTTACTTAATTCCTTGCCATTGAATGTGATAGGTGAGCATTTATCTCATTTCATTGTGAAGGTTACACGAGTTGACTTGGTTTCATTTACTTTAATTCGCCATTCTTTTAGCCAAATTTCTATTTTATTCAGGTTTTTTGGTGAATTTTCTGATGCTTTTGTGGGACTAGAGCCGATGACCAGTATTGCGGTATCGTCTACAAAGTAACAACTTCTGTAATGCTGCTGGATGGGGGGTATGCAGTGTACTTTATGAAGAAAATAAGTCCTAGTACGCTTTCATGCGGTACACCTGCTTTGATAGGGTGGAGCTGAGTAAGTTCATCGTGATGCTTTACCAGGAAGTATCTATCTGATAGGTAGGAGTTTGGGTGGGTTCTGTTGAGGCCGTCTGAGTTTTCTTTTGGTTTTCCAAATTGAATAATCTGTAACTTCGGTTGGAGAAAGATTTTCTCGATATTCTTGAATTCCAAGGTTTTGTTCTTTCTGGATTAATTCTTTTGGTGTTTTATTATTTTCCAATTTGCTCCAAGGTACAATTTTCTCTGTCGAAGTAAAAAACTTTCATCTGATGGTGTTGTTTTTCTCTTTCTTCCTCATTTTCCTAACCGTTTCACATCCATTGACCCCGTTTCTCGTTTACGCTTCAAAATCTTGCTTACTACCCCCTGACTAACTCCACACGTTCTTGCGATTTCTCTTTGTGACACAGAAGTGTGTTCCCTTAACGTGATGATCTTTTCACGCTTCCTAGGCGTAATATCCATGATGGAATTAAACGAAACAAACTCACAAATTACCGAAAACAACACAAAATAGTACAAAACACAAACGTAGTGAAAAATTTCCTAAAACATCCTCAAATAAAAGGCAGAGAAAAATAAGGTTATGGTTTCAATGTTTGGTCAGTTGTAAATTTGTGGACGATGTTGCCAACTATGAATATTGAAAAATGTCACAAAGATTGTATTAATTCAGACAATAATGTAGGTCCATTTTTTAAATTCTTTTGTTAGATCTTTTCCTTCTTCTTTGCTTTCTTCAGTGAGCCCGTTAGAAGAATTAGTTGTGTTCAGTGTTTAATAGATTCTTAATCTTCTTTGTTTTCTAGATTTTTCCTCATCAGGACTTCGTATTGTTTTTTTTACTGCCTCCCATTTTTTTATGTATTGGAATGCTTGTGGGTCTCGATACACTAGATTTGGGTGGAAAAAAGAAGGATGTGGTTATAATAAATATTTTGGGATAATTGGTTGCATATGTGTAGCTAAACCTGGTATCTGTTGATTTATGACCTGTTGGTTTTGATCTTGGTTGCCCATTTGGTCTGTGCCATTGGCGGTGCACACCATATTACTTTGAGATCCCCATTTAGAAATAAAAACCAACTTATATATAAAATGTATTTTTAATAGAAATTTACATAATAACAAGGGGAAAACATTGAGCTTCATACAAATAATATACTCAAATGTAAATTTAGATTAGAGGAAGATATAAATAAAATAATTATCAACAAGTCAGAATTTCATATAATTTCCAATAAATCAAAGAAAGGATAAGGAAGAGATATGCAAAAGCGAAGATTTTGCCAAATTACAAGCAACACAATTTACATTCTTTCAGTAATAAAAATGTTACCAACAAACTTTATTTAAAATAAGACATAAGGTGATTGGTCTGATTCCACAATACAAAATAAAGTATCATAATAATATTATCTTTCAATATTAAATGCAGAATGTTGCACAAGCTCTCTCCTTATCGAAATAAAAATGTAATTATTGTTCGAAGTTTTAGGAACTTAGCTATTAGACACTTTACGCTTGTTTTTGTGCTTAATTTATGATTGTATTTTGTTTTTTTTTATTTCTACTTCTTCATAACTATGCCACGTGTGTTAAGGCAGTGTTCAGAAATTAAGTACGGTCCTATACGAAGCGACGATCAGTCAAGTTGAAGGTGCAATCGCGATGACAAGGTGAGCGCGCATTCACCGAAAGGAAGCGCTCCTGAAGCTAAGCGAAGAAACATACAGTTAATAATACATAAAAGTTAATAACGTTTAACCAAGAAATTTAAATTAATAAATAATACAGTCCACTCTACAATCACCAATAAATAGGCAGTGAAGTAAAATGTTCTATCACAAAACATTATTAATTTAAATTATAGATTGGAAAGGTTCGCCATTAGAATTTATAATAGCCCCCTGTAGCAAATGTTTTTTTAAGAGAGTTTGTGGTGATTCTGTACAAAATAAGATATTTACACCATAAAAATAATTGAAAGATAAGATAGCCAGTTCAGTATTAAAAAATTATGAAAAATTTACTTATATAATCGTTTGAAAATGTTTTATCTTGTGGAATTCATCGGTAAAGTTAATTATAAAATACTGTAAATAGAACCTCAGCTCAGGTAAATGGGAACGTGTACCATATCGTTTTTACACAATAATTAAAATCTTTAGATGTTCTAAAGCGATATGTTACAAGCCTAAAACAATACAGGGTGTCGGTGCAAACGGTGTAGAAAACTGCGATTGATGCAAAGCTTTTTTATTAAGGGCGCTAATCTGGGATTTGATATAATTGATCAATATATTTTTTATTTACATTTTAATTGTTGGATTTGGGACAACAATTATTGCATTTGATTTTTCGTGGTACACTAAACTATTAGGCCAAGAAATATAGAGTGATAACAAATATTTAATAAAACAATTAAAATCTGAAAGTATTAAAAGAATTGGGTATTTTATATTCTCTATTTGTGTACAACTTTATGTTATAAAAAATATAAATGCAAATATATGAATGCACATCAAGAAATCTTATGTATTTAATAAAGTTAAAAATCAATAGATGATTTTGTTTCCTGTAGTATAATCTTTCATTATTATGACAAACATCATCATTATATCATTCAAACGCCATTTAAATTTATCTAAGAGAAAGCCATCACAATACTAATGAGTGATTTGAATGCTAAAATTGAAGGAAAGGGAGATAATTTGGTTACAAAGTTCGGATTGGAGGAAAACAAAATGGTTGAATTTTTTTCGAACTAGCCAGTCCCAGATACAGAAGACACAGTCAGAAACCAAATAGTCAATCTAATAATATCAACTAGAGATAAAGAAATATCATCATCTTATTCTTAATATGTGACACCAATTTTGAGAGTAGCAAACATCAAGTGTACACAGATATACAACACCTACAATTTAACCTGGACAGTCAGGTAAACATAGACCCAAAAAATCTCAAACGCACATATTACTTCAGGTATAAAAAAAACTTATGTAAACTTCTCCAAAAAGTGTATAATACATATATTTTTGCACAGCGTAAACCCAAATGTAGCTAAAGAGAAAGTTTGTATTTAGTATTAAACTTATAAATAAATATATACATACTGAATCTAGGATTTAATCATGTTCCTTTATTTAATAAATGTACAAAATGTAAAAGCATTTAAAAATGTGAATGTTTAACTTTTAAAGTGGCCTCAATTTTTTACTACACGCCCATTTTCATGATATTGAATTAATATCATTAGGAGTAACGCGACAATATGTGCAAGTCGAAATGGTCAAAAATAAACATTCTTGTACCAAATGTATTTTTTAATATTGGAGTAAATATAAACAACTTTATTACTTTACTTCAACATTACAATTCAATGTATTCTACAAACACATCTATAGACACCCTGTTTGCGTTTATGTTAAAGACACAGGACTGTGAACAGTCTCGATAGTAATAACTTAATCTGATTCGCCGATCTCACCGATACTCGAAAAATTTCTTGCTACACAAACTAATCAGTTCTCAGTTTTGTTTTGTCTACGCTGAAGGGCCGCCGCGAGATCTTGCTTAAGTGCCTGCTGTTGGCGGCTTTCGGTCAGCGGTTGAACTGATCGCAGACTGTTGACGATGTCCTTTGTTTTGCTGAAGTAAATTTCGTTCAATGTATTGCGAATTTTGTTTTCCATATCTTCTACCATTCTTCCAATGTTGGCTATGTGAGGGTTGATATCATTTACAGCTGCATCTTGTTCGATCTAAAAAAAATGTTTAAGATATAGAAACGAATGAAATAAAAACCATATATATTGACATTGGGGCACAAACTAGTCAAACTTTTCACGTCTGAATCGGAATAAATAGAATGATATAACAGTCATTTCAGTATCTCTACTTTGTCAGCCATTCGAGCTGATTCCGATTCAAACCAAAAAAGTCCAACTAATGTCTCCCAAATCTTCTCACTTTCAGTTGTACGAGCACAGAGGTGTCACATGCTTTGGTGGCGAAGAACTAAACAATTAAACATTATTGTGAATTCCACTGGTAATATTCTCGATTTGGTGCTGATTGATGGTGCTGATATAACTGTGTTCAGGCCAGTCTTTTGAGGGAGGGTATGCACCACTCACCCCTGAATTTGGAAATGTAATTTGAGATAAAGATAACCAAAAGTTGCCACAATAATAGTGGTTTGGTTAGTGATGGTTTGTCACAGTTCTGTTGGGATAATTTATTTTTAGGAAAACCACTGAATCAAATTGTGAATATTTTTTATGATATAGTTTACTTAGCTACAGAATAATTTATCCTCCTAAAAATGTATTCAAAACATAGATTTCCTTCTCCTATAAATTATTTAATAAATAAATGCTTACCTGCCGAGTTAGACTTCCCCCCAAGTTCATAGTTCCAGATCCCTGTTTATTAGTTTGAAGCCATAACATAGCAGTTGAAGTCATTTTATAATGGGAGTTTCTTCCCGAACTCTTCTCTTGTACTTCTACTACATGTAAAGAATCCCAACATCCTTTAATCTTTTTACTACCATCTCCAGTCTTTTTAATTAGAATGACTCCTAAAAAGAAAATATAATAAGGATTATTGTACGTATAAACAATACAGCAGAATGTCTTTAACCCTTTAAAGCCCAATGGGTCCTTAACAATAAACAATAATACATCTACTGTAGGCTATAGATCGAGCCAGAATTGCCCCCACTGCTAATACAGCACATTGTATTATTTTGTTCATGTAGATATTTTTAAGACTATTAGGAAATGATAAGCTATTGCTTGTTGCTGAGTTGTTTACGACCCCTTTGGCACAATGTTATTAAGAAGTTATCATCGGTCAGACAGCCAAGCGGGCTGGGCAGCCGGTTTCTCATTTGCTTCACTACGAGTGGTTCAGAGGAAGTGAGTTCGATCCCCAGTGCAGTGTACAAAAAACAAAAAGGCTAACGCAGCAGTTTAAAATTCTAAATGAATCTGCGGCTTAGACTAGAAAATGCTGGTGTCTGATCGGCCTATAGTGGAGCAGTACAGCAAGAGATAAGGGCTTGCTGCTTAGTACAAAAATAGATAGAACTAAAATTCTTCACAATTAAATTTCTCATAAAAAATGCTTTCCCCTCAAAGTTGCAAAGCAGCATTTCGGAGACATATACAAAAATCTAAAGTCCATCTCACTATAACCAACTTAAGCTATTTTTGTACAGATCCAGACTAGATGTCAGTAGAAATTGTTTCTAATAATTAGGAATTTGAAATAAAGATTAAATGAGATGAAAACAGTATTCAAATAAACAAAATCACATACAATCAGCAAAAAATATTAAGTTATGGTTCATTGACAACCACTATATTGCAATAAATGATAACTAAAAATTAAAAAAGAAAACCGAATAATAAAATCACAAAGGATCAGATATTAAAAAAGGGAGACGAGTTTTAAAGATCTTCAGAAGATCTTAAAATATATAATGCACTATATACCATGAGATGAACTGAATAACGAGATAATAGAAAGAACAAAGATCCTTAACATTAAAAAAATTCAATTAAAAACATCTACCAACTCCACATGCAACCTATAGAGGTAGAACTTATTTAAAACTTTTATTATTAACAACGAAAAATCCAGCACCAATATTTATGTTCAAAATTAATATGTATTTCTTTAAAAAGTTTGGTGATCATGAAGCATAAAATTATATAAAATACCTGCAAATCCATGGTCTAAATCCCAAAAATAAACAGAGGATACACCTCCTTCAAAATACATTTCCCTGTATTGATCAAATGCAAGATTGGCATCTAGTTCTAATTTTCTTAACTTCTCAGATGGCATTGAACCATCTTCTAGGGGTGGGTAGTATGTATTGGACCATGGTGACCTAAAATAGATTTTTTTATTTATTATATGGAAGTACTGAAGCCCAGTTTAGGACAATATTGTATTTTTGTCTGTGGTGTTAAAAATAAATAAAGAAAATGTTATTTTGTACCTCTTTTGAGAAATATCATCTATTTTAAAAACTCTACCAAATAGTGATGGACAACTACTTGAAATAGCTGACAGAAAACTTTTAGAACTACAAAAAATTTAGAAAAGATTTATTAATCCATTACCGCAATCCATTACCACTTATACAATTGATGGATTCTACTGTTACTTGATGGAAATTCATTTTATGTAACAATAAAACACTGAAAACTTTGTTTTCAAAACTTCCACAAAATTTATTATAAAATCTTATCACTACAGATGTTTTGGCTGATTGCCTTTCTAAAATGAAGTGAACAGGCTTCATTATCTACTGCTAAAATAAATAAAACAGACAAGTCAGTTTTTATATGTGTCACATACTATAGAAGCATGAGATAGGATGCTACAGACGAAAGTAAGATATAAAATTCTGTATGTGGGGATATCAGAGTTCTCAATTTGAGGGGTATTTCCCAAATCTCTTATTTCAGTCACTCTTGAGAGAAGGATTGTATTAATGTGATAGTCAAACACATTATTTTTTAAATCCAAAAGGATGTAACAAAAATTTCCAAAGGATGTAACAAAACACTTATCTTTATTCAACTGGAGACCATTGGAAATAGACCAATTATATGGATCCTTAGCCAATTAGATATATTTGAACTTTGAAATATAGCTTAAGGTCATCAGCACATAGCAAAAATTAACAAACCTTTATTACCTCAGGAATATCATTAATAAACAAGTTAAAGAGAAGAGGACCCACATGTGAACCTTGTGGCACCCCTGAACTGACCAACATAGGAATTGAAAGCGAACCCTTTATAAAAACAAACTGAACTCATTCATCAAGATAACTATTTAACAATGAAAGAAACCACTCAGGTATGCTAATACATTTTAATTTAAAGATGAGCAAAGAATGGATTACTATGGCAATGGCCTTAGAGAAAGCTTATAAATGGAGTTGACTTGGTACATATTTGTGTTATGTAATCATGATACAAAATAAGATTTGTAGACATAGATTTACGATGCCTAAATCCATGTTGCTCATTAATAAAGAGGTTTCTACAATGCCAAGTGAGATATTTGTTTAGAATTAATTCAAAAAGTTTAGGGATGCACATAATATAACAACAGGCCTATAATTTTTTATATTGTCTGGGTCAAAAGTTTTAAATACCAGAATTATATAACTGTCAGGCCACTTACTAGGGAATTTTACTTAATTCTTTTAAATTTATTATTAGATTTAAGAAAATAAATATACCTATAGGAATCCCCATCTCTATTATAGTCACAAAGTAGATAATCTTTCCCAGTTTCTTTATCTTTTGCAATTTTTAATGGCTGATCCACAGATGATAGTAGATCTTCACATAGACTGGGAACTAAATCAATGAGATCACTTAAGTTTTTTTCAATTTGCTGAGGAGGTAACCTCCTCATTAAGTCCAAAGCACAATCAAACTGGTCTCCCTAAAATGTAAAAATATAAAAATGTTCATATGCAATATAACTGAATGTACCTAAATAAATATATGTGCTAATAAAAATACCTATAATGATAATTATATAATGATTTTCATATAATGTCGAAATACTGTATGCTTGATCAAAATTTTGGTGTGGAATAACATCTATAGAAAAAATTCATTCATAACCATACCATTCCATTTTACACAGGCTCAAATGTATCTTTTATTTGCTTTGGTCATTTATCTAGAATAAGACTGTTTTTAAACCAATGCCAATTTCATTATTGATCTTCCTTTCTATCTACAGTATATTGTTTCTATCATTTTATCTGTCATCAAGATAACACTCTGTGTTACTTTTTATTTAGTTGATTAATCTATTTATGATTAATTGAATATGGCAATACACATTCTTTTACTTACTGCATGTTTTTATTGTTTGTTATAATTTTCAAATCAATCAAATTGTTTGGTCATTTTATTTGTGTGTCACATTCTGATATTGAACGGTTTGAGTGTATTCATCGGTAATATTATCATCTGTATGTTATGTCAAATAGTATTACTCCTAAATAAGATATTAAACATATTTTCTTTTTTTTTTTGTAAAGCATATATGCAATTGCCTAAGTCTGATTATTAGGAATTCAGTTCACTGATTTGTTGGAAGTGTGAACTGTATTTTTGTTTTACTGTTATGCCATCTTTATGACCCTAACTTTTGATTAAAGGTTCTTTTTCAGTCTCTTATCTAATTGTGATTTGGTCAACCATTGTTGGAATAAAGTTTATATTTTTGAATATTATTTAGTTTGAAGGTAGTTAATGAACGATCTTGAAAGAAATTTAGTTAATCGTAGAATTTACTATTTGTAAACTATTTTTTTTTCCAAAAAATTATTTAAATATATATAAATACTTTCCAGGTTTTAAACTTATACACTTCCCACTTTCTATTTTGTTTTCTACTTGCTGTTGATGTTTCGTTTTTCAGGTGATGAATATTAATAGTTTGGTCAATTCCTGTATATTCTATGAACCTTCTTCTCATGCCTTGTCCCTTACTAGATCTTTCGTATTTATTGATATAAACTTTTGGCTTTTTTCTACAGTTTTGCCTACTGTTATCTTTGCTTAAGTAATAATTGTATTTGTGACCTAGCTATTTCCCATGTATTAAAGTATAATAATACATATGCATATATGTAGAAACCCTCCTAATAATACAAAATATTTATATTTATTTCATAAATGCCAAATAATCAAATGGGTGTGACAAGTAAACAGGTGCCAATGAGTCATTTAATCCTATTTTATTATCAAACTTTAAGCAAATTATCAAACTTATACGTCTACTCACCATGTTTTGTTATTTTTGTTTAATTAATTTTAAAAAATAGAAATTTTCATAAAAATTCTTAATTTGGAAAAATGATAAGAGATCGGAGATTTATGTTGGCAGTACCGTTACTTTTTGTTTGTGTCATACGTCATATATCAATATCAATGTCACTTTCCTCTTATTTAAATAATTAGCTTCCTGACATTTATTATATAAGTCATACAACCAATTTTTTCACTGGGTCAAAAAATGCCAACCATCCATGGTCCACGCCGACAAAATGCCAACCATCCATTATCTACCATGGTTCAAAGCAAATAATGTTCTAGCATTGGTGATTTATTTAAAATATGATGTGATTCAGTTAAAATTATTCAGTAGTTGATATTTTATAGGATAAAATCAAAATGCAATTTTACTCGAAAATGGATTGTAATATTTTGAAATACAATTGGCAAAATAAACGAATTAATAGGCCTTTTAAGTAGCCGCCATGTTTTTCGTATATTTTTGATCAATAACGTGTAATATTGATTGTGACCAACAATGACTGAGAACGGGAACTCTATATTCGTTAGCTTAAAGGATTTGGATTCGTTTTTGCTGGTCTATAACTCGTAAGAGGAGCTCATTAAAGTTTCACACTTTATTTAATTCTAAAACGGTACGAAGTTCTCTGAGTTAGTTTATATGTAAAATGTGTAAGTATATTTTTGGACAGAGAAATTTGTTTTGTATGGAATAGTTTTTAATTTGTTATTTTTTCCATTTAAATTTTAAAATAGGCTTTTTAAATTTGTCCCCTAAAATTTAAAACATACTTTTTGAATTTGCTGCCAAATGTTTCTGTAAACCACTCATCTATCAGAGGTAAAAAAAAAGAAAGAAGAAGAAGAGAAAAGAAAGAAGAAGATGGAATTTAATGACAGTGACAAAAAATGTCAGATAGATCCAGTGATTTGAGGTTAGACCACTTGTGCTGTGCTGTCACCTGTCACACCACACAAGTTTAAATTATTGTTGGCTGGTCAAAGTTAGGGAACCTTAAAATAACTAAAATTTAGTCACAATGTTTAAAAAACCTATTAAAATTAAAAGCAATACACAAACAAAACGATCTGAAAGGTAATTTCATTTGTTTTTTGCTTATATTATGTCGTTAGTATTAATGTAACTTAAATCTTAATCGGTTAAGATGGTAAATAATAATAATAATAATACGTAGTATGTAATAATTAATTAATATATAATATATAATAATTAATTAAATTAAATTGCCTCATAAAAATGGCTTCAGAACAGTATTATTGTAGCCAGGGATATTGCTGTAGTTATTTTTCTTGTTATTCTTGTAAGTTTTATTTCTTACTGTGTTAATATTTTTTGGTTTTTTTCTACCCCCTTTGTTTCCTCTCAAGATTCTAAAGATACGTCCCCACATTGATTACCGTTTTTTTTTATGTTATCGAGAACACACTAGGCTTTTGTTTTTGGGGATTATGCAATTTTGGGCAATGTATAAAAAGAGTATACAAATTGAATATTTGGTAATTATTTATTAAGAGGGTACACCTCAATAATTTTTTGTGAAATACTCCGAAAAATTAAAGAATATTTAAAATATTAATAATGTTTACTTTGTGGGAAACTGTATGCTCTTACTATACTAGTACGGAATATTTTTGAAAAATAGAGTAATTTACCATTTAATGAATCCATTTTAATGAATATACTCTTTGCTTCCATTATGTTGAAATTGGCTATGTTTACTTTCACCCATCTATTTACTCTCCATTTCTCTTCATAAGACCTTTTAATGTTTAGATATCTCCTTTTTAAATTTTGTTTTTTTTTATTTATTTTTTTTAATTCATAAATTCATAAATAAACCTGTGTATGCTTTTTTAATACATACATACATACTTTCTGGTCAAATTTATTGTAAAACATATTAATAAATCATATATTTTTTAGGAACAACTTTAGAGATTCAATATTAAAAGCGTTTCCTAACTTAACAGAAAATGATATTAATGAATTACTACCAAAAAAGGAACCTTTAAATATCTTAAAAGTAGTTACACATAACCAAACAATATTAAATGTATATACAATTCAAAAACGGCCAATAGTATTTGAATATGAAGACAAACTCTTTCCCACAATATTTATGTTATGGAAATTTCCTAATATAATATATGCTTTTACAACACACCAACAAGTCATGAGCTTCATTACATCTGGTGCTGATCTTATGTTAGCAGGTTAGTTACATTTTTAGTTATGTTTATGTAGATTCTTAAGGTTTTATATGTTATATCACTTGTTGAGTGCTTGACTATCAATGTGGGATTTTGCAAAAGATTCTATACAGTTTAATAGATGCATTGCCAACAAAATTATCAAATTATTTAAAGATAAAAACTATCACAAGTAAGGGTTTTGGATGTCAGCTAACCATTTTATGAGATGTAGTATGAAGAACATAAATCTTCAGTATTGATGTGCTACTTAATGATGATAATAAAACAGTTACTCCTTTTTTACAGATAATACAGCTATCATAATTGATAATATTAACACTATCATTGTCAATGAGTGTCATACTGAATAACAAACACATACCAATAACAGAAAACTTTAATGTCTAGGTATATATTTGATCATTCAAGTAATCTGATGAAAAGAAAACTGCTTAATTAAAATGGAATAATATAAACACTATTCTGATGTGAAATATATCACTTAAGTGACCAAATAACTCAGTTTGTACTTTCCAAAAATTTTGCATCCAAATATGAAAAAGAGGGACATTTCAAGATTTACTATTTATGTAAACGTTTACGTCCTATCATGTGTTTACATTCATTTATAAATAAGAGTACACAAAGGTCTATGTTGATCTTTTTCCAGTGCATCTGCGTCTACAGTCCGTCAAACTATAAATCCAGCTTTAGATATAGAAACTTTCCAGGGAAAGGTAAAATATTAAGCTTGAAGCATGAATTACTGGGCCAATTCTCTTTTGTGCCACTGCCATTTAGAAAGAATAAGTGAAATTAGGTATTATAAAAAAAAAAGAACTATTGTCACGTGACTTTCTTATTGTCAAGTAACTCTCAAGTTTTCAACATAATCTTTATGGTGAATTTATAGAGTTGTATTTCGTCATGGTCAAGTACATTTTTTTATTCAAGTACAAGGAAGACATGCTCCCCAATAAAAAATGAAATAAAATTTGTATATGATAACTTCTTCTAATGACGCTACAACCCTTTGTGTGTCTTGGCCTGCTTAACAATGCCCATTCTGCCCTGTTGGATACTTTCCTTCACCACTGCCTGATGTTCATGGTTTTAAGATCCCTCTCTATGTCGTCTATCCATTGTTTACAGGGCCTTCCTCTTGTTCTATTTCCTTGGGGCTTCCATCTATGGGCTACTTCTACAGCTATCAGTATATGGTAACAACAAAGCTTAAATTGTAGCTCCATTTATGATAGACACAAAATGACTTTCCAAATAGCCTTTCCAGTCAAAATCGTGGATTGGATCACATAACCCAAAACCATAACAAATAATTGCATCCTGTTCCATTAATTTTGTTGTAGGGCATACATAAATGTATGTCCATTGCAATGGACACATGTCTGAAAGGAATATACAGTTTTGATATATTTTTGTAGCACACATGACTTATTAAAATCATAACTCTTCTTCCTATCCATGATATAAATAAAAATGTCTTGAAATATACTCCATCAATAGAAATTAATTCCTTTTTTCTTAAATTGAAAAGATAAAAATAATAATTTGTTTTCAGGTGTTGTAACCCCACAAGCTTGTACTAATTTGCCGAAATATGGAAATGTTGTTGAGAATGAAGTAGTTTATGTAAATTTATCTAACAATAAGGCAGCTGTAGCAGTTGGTGTGGCAAGTCAAAGTTCTGGAGCCATGAATTTAGCAAATTGTAGAGGAAAATGTGTAAATATATATCATTTTTATGGAGACCATCTTTGTACTATTGAAGGTTTGCCTAATTTACCATTAGCTACACTTGGTTCTCCAGAATGGCTTCGTTTGGATAGTTATGATAATGATTTCCCAGCTCTTGGTGGCCCAACAAAAACACAACCTGATATTTTAGATATAAATAAATGTGAAAATGGAGATATTCAACAGACACAAGAAACAGAAACAGTTTCTGAGCAAATAATTGAAAGAAGTGATGGTGATAATGAAGTTAATGATTTAGAAACAGAATCGACCCAAGATAGTTCGGAAAATATGGATGATCTTTTAATTTTTTGCTTTTTAGGTGCTATCAAATATTCAAAGACACTCCAATTGCCTGTACTGACTTCAAACTTTTTTAAATTAGATATGCTTCCAATTTGTCCTCCTACTAAAAATTTGGATATTAAAAAGACTTCTTTCAAGAAGTTAAAACCGTTTCTAAAGAAAATGTCAGAGGTAATACTTTTAATGTAGTAAATAACAAGAAATATTTTCTGTCTAATTTAATTTTCCTTTATCTATTAATTTAATTCCCCGGGTTTACCTTATTGTGAAATTAATAATCTAATTCTTTTATGATTTAATATTCCACCAAAGCGCTAGTTTATGTTTATTTGATTTACCAATCTTTTAGGAAGGTCTGGTTACTGTAAAAGAAGTAAAAACTGGTGTTGAAACCATCACTGCCATAAATAAAGATCATCCAAAGTATCAAGCATTTTATTTGACACCCGAAGAAAGACCCAAAAAGGACACAAATGAGACTGAAAATGTGCCTTCAACCAATGTCATTGAATCCTTTGTTATCACCGACTCTGTTGTACCTATATTTGATGGTCACAGGTAATATTTACGTCTAGAACAATGTGTTAAATACTAATATTCATCTGTTTTTAGAAAAGGAGATACTGTACAACTCATAGATGTAAGAAAGTATATTTCAAAATATGTCAAAGAGAACAATTTACAAGATGTGGAAAATGAAAAGTAAGTAAGTATAAATAATAATATGTTTACTTAACAGTTTATTTTGAATTACGTCAAAATAATATCCACAAAGGGAAAAGTTAATATACTCTGCCAAAAAAGTTTTGCATCACATAAAATTACAAATATTTCTGACAGCATTTGGTTAATTTAAATTATTTCTTTCTGGCCCTTAAGAATATTAAACCTAGAATAAATATTAAAAAGAAATTTGTAAATACAGCTTACCTACTGTTTAAGAAAAAAAAATGTTAATTGCTATTTTGTCTGGTTTTTATATTATCAGTCTTTATTTTACTTTTCTAAAAAGTATACAGTTTGCGTTTAATTTAAAATTTCGTATTAAATATTGAGTATGGAAGGTCGTGACAATATAAATTTAAATTTAACGAGAGATTAAGTGGTTAGAATAATTTCCCTCACTCAAGACGGAAGGAGTCAAAGATATGTGGCAAATTTAGTGGGTGTTAATGTAGCTCTAACAGGTCGGCCAAGAGCAACTACGCATGTGGACAATAGATTATTAGTCCTTCAGGCTTTGCGTTAAAGACATGTGACTGCAAGTCAACTTCAACATGACTTAACCGAGACTCGAAATGTATGTGTGTCTTCAGAAACTGTTAGGCACATCTTAAGACAGTTTGGAATTAGGGTCAGAGTAGCTGCCACTGCCCCGAGACTTAAAAGGGAACACCATATAGCACGTCTAACATTTGCAAGAGCACGTAAACTGGAATATCGACGACTGGGGTAACATACTCTTTACGGATGAGTCAAGATTTTGTTTATACACTTCGGATCGATGAATACCAGTTTATAGATGAGACGGCGAGCGTTATTTTCAATGCAACCTAAGAGCGGCGACAAACTTTGGAGGAGGATCTATTATGCTCTAAGGCTGTTAGGGGTAAAACCGAATTGGTACAGCTAGATCGAGGATCCTTAACTGCTGATAGGTACTTTTCTTTTAATACTTGTTACGTACTTAAAAAACAAAACAAAAACAGTAAAAAATCCATGTTTTAAATTATTTTTAATACAAAATTTGCAGTTTCACATGTGATGCAATACTTTTTTGGCGGATACTTTTTTTACTTTTAATAAAAATATAAAAAAAAAATATACGTTTCGACCTTTACTACAATATCCTGTATACACGTAATACTTAACACAGGTGTAGGACAAATAGCACAAGAATGGCTAAGGCGGAAACTCACCAACACTCCCTTCCGTTAGCTAGACAGCGTACACCCATTGCACGCCACGAATTGCCCAGAGGTCACGAACGTGAACGTAGTAGTAGGGTTTGTTGGAATGTTCTGTTAAAAAAACTACGGCCATTTCTCACAGTTTTAGCATATCAAGGACCTCGGCAATATTTACTATCTATATGACCCAAACCTAACCATTTGACATCTCATTATTGATCTGTAATAAAATTATCTTAAATTCATAAAATTGATTTAAATATATGAAGAGCACAGAGGAAAAACCCCGTTAGTCAATTTTTTCAAGAAATGGGCCGATGACGCTATCTAGTGGCTTTAAACGAATAGTTTTTAAACATTTATTAGCTTTTGTCCAAAACACCGTCGATCTACTAAAATCCACGTTAGAAAATATGCGGCACTGGGGAAAACCCCGTCAGTCAATGCGTGTGTATGTGTATGGAAGAACCCCATGAGTCAAATAATATTGTAGTAATCCTTTACCGGGATTTGTGTTGTACACTTGTCAGTCTGTTAGTTGTTGTTCAGCAGCTAAGATGTTTCTTTGTATTGTCGAGAGCGTGTTATTTGTCAGTTTTTTTGTGTACCTATGCTTAAAAATAATAAGAATAATAAGATATTTGCGAGCAGCGTCTCACGAGCTTGGGCCGTATTGTTTGTGCAAAAGACTAATGCTTTCAGAGTATACCAGAAGAGGGACGAAAACTGAATCATTCGAGAGTATAGTCTGCTGGGAGATAGAGAAAAGCAGAACTCTTATTTGAGTGGCCTTATTACAGTGTTGCCTGTAGTTCAAAGACGACCTCGAAATACAGATCCTAGATATAACGCAGCTTCATTTTTACAGTCTGTCCCAAACCCTTTTTTAGTGCGTCACTAATTTTGACGTCATATAGGATTTAAAGAATGTCGAGAATTATTGCATGACATTTTAGTTAAATCTGACAGTGGCAGGATGGTAATCGGCTAAATGTGAAAAGGTTATTTTTTTTTAAATGCATAGCAGTTTGTCATAATTCTGTTCTATTCTGTTCTATTTTATACATTCCAAGGAAAGTGCTTAATTAGCTTGCATTCGTTTATGGATTTATTTTTACTTATTACAAACACACAGGCATATTGCAATGAAAATTGCAATTGCAAGGCATCAAAGTAAACATTCCTGTGATAAAATAACATCGATTTAAATCAGTCATATTTGGTTAAGTAGTTTTCTGATAATTTTGTGTGACAGCCAATAGTTTAATTTTGTGAAGATTTGTCATTAAATTGTGGAAATATTTTAAATAGTGAAGCATTTGATTTTTAAGTTATTCTACCAGATTTGGTGTGCAAATGAAAAAAGGTTATAAAGTTTAGTTAAAAAAAAACAATATAAATAGTTTAAATAGTGAAGCAGTTGATTTTTGAGTTAATCTACCAGTTCCGGTATCCAGATGAAATCGTGTTAATGGAGTTTAGTTAAAAAACAAGATACCGAATGTAAGTTTACCTTCTTTTTTATGAATAACAAAAATGAATATTATATTTCAAACAATCCATAATCCCATTCAGAATCTGATTCTTTAAAATCAATGATTACACTAGATATGTGGCTGGTATCAATTATATCTTACATTTCAAGAAAATGTCGTGGTTCGAAAAAGAACCGTTTTAATACATATAAATATCCATAACGGTATTAGTTTAAGACATTTTCTCAATATCATTCCGGAATTCACAATCTGATTCGCGAACGACAGAAACTGATAATAAAGATAACTCAGCCTCTTTTTCTAATTGAAACTAATTTAATAATTTTAATATTAGTCTTTGTTCATTCTCGGTTATATCTCGGAATATTTAAAATATTTTTATGACAATAAATACAAAATTTAATTTTTACTGTAGGTAAAATGTCTGAAAATACTAACCTGGAACGACAATTATCATTTTATCAGTTGACATTGTGAAAGTACTGTCACTGTCATTATCAAGATCATCTGTGTCAAATTATATTTATATGCATAATTGATTGGATATCTATTTAGCGTATTCTAAACTCCAACCAATTAGACGTTCGTAAGTAGAATTCGCTTTAGTATGCGAATACCCGTGACCGATACCTAATTTTCTAAGTTCGATGTATAATAATCAGTGACTCACGTTTTTTTCTGTCACTTCTAGCTTAATGCGTTAGAGAGAATTCGAACAACTATGACGCACTGAAAGAAGGGTTTGGGACGGACTGTATACGGTCCGTCCCAAACCCTTTTTTCAGTGCGTCACTAAATGTGACGTCATATAGGATTTTAAGAATGTCGAAAATTATTGCTTGACATTTTAGTTAAATCTGACAGTTGCAGGAACGTAATCGACTAAATGTGAAAAGGTTATTTTTTAAATAGATATGTAGTCTTTGTTCTTTCTCGGTATATCTCGGCATATTTAAAATATTTTTATGACAATAAATACAAAATTAAATTTTCACCGTAAAATGTCTGAAAATACTAACCTGGAATGACAATTATCATTATTTTATCAGTTGACATTGTGAAAGTATTGTCATGATCAAGATAATCTGCGTCAAATTATATTTATGCGCATCATTGATTGGATATCTATTTAGCGTATTCTAAACTCCAACCAATTATACATCCGTAAGTAGAATTCGCTTTAATATGCAAATACTCGTGAACGATGCATAATTTTCTATGTTCTATGTATAATAATCACAGACTCACGTCTTTTTCTGTCACTTCTAGCTTTATGCGTTAGAGAGAATTCGATCAACTATGACGCACTGAAAAAAGGATTTGGGACGGACCGTATAGAGTTCGTTTGTTAAAAGACTATGTTGTATGTGATGTTCAGTTCTACTTAAAAGCGTTCATGTCGCTTCATGGTATTAGTGAGGATAATGTTAGGTAAATAAGCGGTGCTCTGCTTAGTGCTGGTAAATCTCCCACTGACTGTCGTGTAAAATATTTAACAAGACCCCACAAACTTTCACAAGAAACCAAACAAAACGTATTTACTTATTTGAAATCTCTTAAAGTGAGAAAATCACACTATTCTTTAAAATACACTAACAAAATTGACCCCCCTGCTGAGTTAAATATTTCAAAGCTACATACCATATACTTAACTAACTATCCAGAACATAAAAATTCGTATGAATCATTTCCTGGGATTTTTGAGAACAATTTCAACCTTTCCTTTGGTTATCCACATATGGACTCTTGTAGTACATGTGATTCCTTTAAATCACACATTATAGCGCTTGAGGAGAAGCTTGAAATTGCCACTGAGAAAGGAGAAACAAGCCAGAATCTGATCTACATGGAATGCGATCGGAATATGAGCATTTTTAAAAAAATCCTACACAGAGGTTCTAGAAGACTGAAGGGAGGTTCTAAGGAATACTTGGGTAAAACCCTCTCCATTTACAGTGATTGATTGCGAAGTAGATGTAGTTTTTCAAAATTGGACTGCTTACCTATCATCACTTTCTCCACGAATATGTCCATTTCCCACGAGATCGATTCGTATGTTAAAAGTTTCGGCAACTGAAGGACGACTTGTGTTCTATAAACCTACTTTTTTGGACGCCATGCATCCTCAGTCCTTGAAAAAAAAACTTTGCAAAAAATCAAAGCGCAGCCACTGCAATAAATGCCCCGTTACAAAATTTGTAAAATGGAAAACTTCCAATACCAAGCTGCAAAATATCGCGATCTTCTTCATTTATCCCAGTATTTGGAAAACCCCGAAGCAAAGATTTTGTATCAAAATTTAACTGCTGACGCTGTTCAACAGGAAGAAAATGATAACAAATACGCTGACGATCCCCTAATTGATGATGGAGAGAATTGACTTCAGATCGTTTTTTAATAGTTGGTTAAATTTTACTCTGGTTTTTATTGTTTATTGTTTATTTTTTAGCCTCCAGAGTTGAAAAAACAATAAAATGGTTGTTTTCCCGAAAATTACTTTTTTTTACTGACGGGGTTTTTCCCCTGTGCCCTTCATATGTTTATACACCAACAATATATTCTGTTAATTTTTCTGCAAGTTTTTTTTTGTATCACCACCAAAATTTATTTTCAGGCTCATAAAACCTAAGGAAGCATTGGCACGTATATGCAAGACCGAACACTCTGTAGCATGGGAAGAAGTAATTGAAAAAGTATGCGCTGCAATGAAAAATACCTATAAAGTAAAATCTGGAATGGAAGAAATTCAGGGGAAAGGAAAAGTATCTCCTATAACACTCTCTGTTTCAGGTTAGATATTTTATTTATAAAGAAGGAATCCCAAAAATATAACTAGTTTAATGTATTTTTGCGTTATGTTTCCGTGGCATAAACGACATCAGAATAGAATAAGTTGGGAAAATGGGGACACACTATATGACAGTCTCTGAGTTTGAGTTGAGTTGAGACCTGTAATGTCTGATGATAGGCAAATACCTTAAAATCACGATAATAATAGCCCGTCTTTATACCGATAATTCAGTTTAAGAATATGGCCGGGTTGTCAGCTATTTCTTGAACTACGGTATACAAGGAAGGTAAAAACTCATGCCGCCTCAAGTCCAATATAAATCTTTAACCACCATCTTATTTTTCACAAAATTTTATATGATTTTTTTACTTTGACCTAATTATTAATAAAAATAGCAATTACCTCTCCCATTTCATATTTTTAATACTTACTGTATTAGTATATACATACTAATACATACATACATACATACATACATACATACATACATACATACATACATACATACATACATACATACATACATACATACATACATACATACATACATATATACATACATAATACATACTAATATACATATATTTATTGTTATAGTTCGCTCCGGCAATAAAAAGGTAACACTAATAGATAACTTGGAGTTATTTGGCATCCGACTTAATGATTTTGCAAAAGAATGCCAGCACGGAGTTGCAGCAAGTACGAGTATTAGTCGACCGCCCGGAAAGAAATATGATCAACTCTTGGTTCAAGGGAACCAAGTTTTGTTTGTTTATAATTTATTAACAGGTAAATTGCTAAGTTTAACTTATTTTAACAGATTTTTTAAAACTTATTTTTTATAACCCCATTTGATAAAAATGTCAACTTTTGTGTGATCAGTTGACTTTCTCTCTTTCGAAAAAATGTATTAACAATTGGCATATCTAGTGCCATTGCTAATTTCACTCTATCATCTCCAGTTTCATTTCTAATCCTCTACATATTCTCTCTTAGATTGACACATTTGTGCATTAATATTGACCCATATTGAGGAGGAAGAGGTAAAGGAATTTACAAAACGTTCATCAGACCAATAATGACATATGCGCAGACACACGACCTGACACAGAGGACAAAAATGATGTAAAAAACAGCATAGAGATGAAAACACACATTGATGGTCAGACATTATGAGATAAAGTTAGAAGTACAGATATACGACGTAGATGCATTGTGGAGAACATCAAGAATTGGATAAGAACTAGAAGAGTAGAATGGAAGGATTATATAAGCCGAATGACAACAAATAGAGTAGTAAAGACGGCAAGAGACGGTTTCCCAATAGGAAGACGATCTGTAGGAAGACCACGAAAACGGTGGAACGACAACTTACTGGTATTACATAGAAAAACAGACTCATGTCTACATAAAAAGAAGAAGTGCATTAAAATCACCTCCCATTGCTACTCTCTGCTCTGATAGAATGTCTCCTAATTGATCATTTTAATATTAATATCTAAAGCAGGAAAAAATACCTGCTAATTGATTTTAAGTCTTGTTTTATTAATAGTTTATATTTATTTTTAGACAAGTACAAAGTGCCAAAAAAGTACATCAAAGGATTGGAGAATGCTCCAAAGAAAAAGAAGTAATCTTGTATACAGTTGTAATAAAGTCATATTTATTATTACTATTTCTATTTTTTTTATTTCCTTTATTCCATTTATTTAAAATTGACCGTTTTTACTAAAATTAATGGTTTTGTACAAACGTAAAGTTTTTTTTTCTGCTCATTTGAGGCATGGTGATGGAGGTAAGAGTTGGATAAATTGTGCGTAGTTTTGTATTTTGTATGTTCCAGTGTATTTGCCAAATACTTAGTACGTTGTTCTTGATACTGGCCTTTAGGTCTTGGTGAAGTTATATGTCTTCCATATTTTCTAAGGAACAGGCCAGTTTTGTTGCATGATCAGCCTTCTCATTTCCATTGATACCAACATGGGATGGTATCCAGATGATAGTTACTGAAACACCATTTTTTGACTGTTGTTGGCAGATATTGTGGATGCACTTACAATGGGATGTATGGAGTATATATTTCTGATTGAGCCAATGGCGGAGAGAGAGTCGGTGCATATTGCTAATGATTTCTCATTAGCAATGGGCGAGTTTAATGCCTTGAGTATTCCATATAGTTCGGCTGTGTGTATACTGCATCTGGGAGAAAGCCGATGTGACGCTACTATTGTGTTTGAGGTACTGACGGCACAACCGATGGCCTGTTCTTCTTTGGAGGCATCTGTGTAGAGAATTTTAGTCATAACGCTGTGTCTGTATAAGTTCCTCAAATGCTTGTACCACGAGAGTTCTGGGCGTTTTTTCTTTTTTGTATCGGTTCAAGCTGGTAAGGACAGTAGGTAGCTTTTTGGTCCTCGGGGGAATTCTGGACGTAGTAACGGAGTTGTGAGTTTTAGGTATGTGTCTTTTAGTAAAGTTTTTAAAATTTGTGAGAGAATGTGCTCGAGATTGACCATTATCTGGGACAGGGTGGGGAGTATTAATTAGTTTAATTACTGGGTTGTTTGGATTAGCAGAAATTCTAGAGAAGTAAGACAGAAGTAGACGTTGCCGTCTTATAAAAAGTGGAGGTTCTGAAGATTCGATATAAAGACTTTCAGAAGTACTTGATTTAAAGGCGCCGAGGCTAATGGCCGAGGCAAACATTTAAGGTGAGTATTGAAAGCAGATATGTAGAGAATGCTTCCGTAAGCCAACCTAGAGCGGATCGATGTTCTGTAAATTCTTAGAGGACTTTCTCTTCTGCCCTCCATTGATGATGAGCTAAAGTTTTTAAAATATTGATTCTATTTGGACAGTTTGTTTTTGTATTCTGTATCCGACCTCTCCAAGTAAGCCTTTTATCGAATATTACTCCTAATAATTTGTGTTTATCAACCACTTGAAGAGGAGAGGTGAGTGTGATGTCTTCTATATGACTTTAGATTTTCCAGATGAAAATTTGACTCCAATTTCAGTGGACCAGTTATGAAGATGTTAAGAGTGTTTTGGAGTAAAGAGCATGTGCTCCTTGTAACTTTACCTTGGCAATAAAGAACAAGATCATCTGCGTATATTGAGTATTTTATTGGAGTGAGAACAAGAGCGTTTATATCGTTAATGCTAAGAAGGAATAGTGTGGGGCTAAGAACTAAGCCTTAGAGGACTCCATTTCTGAGATATGCGATGTAGATGTTTTCCCGTTTGCGACTACTTTAAATGACCTCTCTTATAGGAAATTGTTTAGAAAGGTGATAATATTACCCGTTAAATTAAGTTGCCCGAGTTTTCTAATAATAGTAGCTCTGTTTATTGTGTCGAAGGCACTTTCTAAGTCTAAGGCAACTGTGATGACGTCATTTTTATTTGATATAGCTTGGGCTATTTCTGTTTGGAGAAGTACCAAGTTATCCATCGTACTTCGATTGGGTGTGAATCCGGGCTGTGCTGCATCTATCAGATTGTTTTCTTCAAGAAACCAAAGCAAACGTTTATTTATCATCTTTTCTAGTAGTTTGCACATTGTACATGTTAGTGAGATTGGCCTGTAGGCACTGGCAGCGTTAGAAGATGAGTCACTTTTCCTGATCGTTATAATAAGCGACTGTCGCCAAAGACTCGGAAAGCTTTGGCTGAACCATATCTTATTGTAGAGCGCAAGTAACTTCAAGAGGGTTCCTGCCTGTAGATGTTTGAGAAAGATAGACGGGATGTCATCAGGACCTGCAGATGAGTTTTTCATTGATGAAGTTGCCAAATTTAACTCTACTTCTGTGAAGGCGAGGTTTATTGGATTGGTTTGGATAGGGTTAGGTGGTGATTGGTTTGTGGGGTGCGAAATGGAGAGTTCAGACTTAGTTTTGTTTTGAAAGTATTTGGCTAGCGTTTCGGTTATTTGATTATCATTTGTAATGACATTATCTTCATCTGTTATTGCGGATATTTTGCAATGTGTGTTTAAACCTTTAATTTGTTTAATTTTTGTCCACACTTGGCGGGAGGGGTATCAGAAGTTATGCTGTTAACGAATTTTTTCTAGGATTGTTTTTTGCTTTCCTTCAGAATTCGTTATGGTTAGAATGCAATTTGTAAATTGCTCTACGGCAGCGTCGATGTTTTCCTTGAAAATTATTAGGTTTGAAAGGTCTTCAAGATTATCACTGAATAACCTCCAATTTGTATGGGCAATTTTTCATTTATTTATGACTTCCTCACTTTTTAGGGGATATGACTTGAGATTAAGATGGGGTAATGATTGGTATCATATAAACTATCTAGTGTTTGCCACTGAAGCAGAGGAGCGGTTCCAGGATCGCAAAAACTTAGGTATATGCAAGAGGAGGTTCCAGACTGGATGTGGAAATATGTGGAGCTCTCTGTATTCAAGAGGTTAATGTTAGAGCTACTTATGATAGCTTCGATATGTTTACCTCTTTCAAAGGTAAGCCCCATGCTGTGCTGTGAGCGTTAAAGTCCCCAACTAAGATGAAATAGTTTGGCAGTTGTTTTATGAGGCCGCTTAGTTCTGAGCTGAATAAGTTGTAGTTTGGAGAAATGTATATAGAACAAATAATTATCTTGTTGGGACACCATGCGGTTATCGCAATCGCTTATAGGCTTATAGGCTTATAGGCACGCAAGTCAAACCCTTGATGGAAGATATCTTAGGTGTGTAGATCTTAGGAAGTTGTAGCTAGTGTAGTTTTTAGGTAGGAGTTGTTATCTTTGGGGAAATTGGATTCTTGAAGACATATAAACTTGGACGAGCAGTACGATATGAGTGTTTGTAAATATTCTAGTCTGGGGTAAAAGCCATCGCAGTTCCATTGAATTAGTCTTAGCATAGTATTAATAGGAGCTGAATTGGGAGGATTGGGATGGTTGTGAGCTATCAGAACTGAAGTTATCATCATTAAAATCGGCGGAAAGATTTGGACTGGGCGTACTTTCAAGTTCTTCTGGATCAATGCCTAAGGCGTTTATCAATTTTGTTGGATAGACGGGTTAGCCTGTTTTTGATATATCTCTCCTGACAAGTTGGGTAAAAGGACAAACAGTTTAAATTTTTTAAAAAGGAGAAGCTACATTATGGTTGGCATCAGGAGATAGAATGGCCCTGGTCCTGATCAAGACCAGGAGCAATTCTCCTTCCTGATGCCAACCATAATGTACTTCTCCTTTTTAAAATTTTTAAACTGTTTGTCCTTGTGTACTGTAGTGTAATGTACAATTTTATGTTTATGATATTCTCCACAAATTGTTAGATAGGCCAAAATCGATGAAATGCCCATGAAGATGCTCAAGGAAGGAAGGACAAATCTGTGCTCGATATCTGCCTTTCATTGGATCAAACTTCATTTATTCGAGCATTCAACCTTATATCAAGTTTTTATAATATTTAGGGGAACTTCTCTATTATACAGAAGATGGATTATATCTTTGAGTCTTACTCTGTCAAATGCTTTTCAAGTGATTTCTCAGTAGTTTGCTTAATGATTCCGTTTTTTTTATATAGTCTTTCTGTTATATTCACCCATTTCTCTCTAACGTGCTTCCCATAGTAATGTGTCGCATTGCTTCCCATAGTTGTTTCCTAGGAACGGTATCATATGCTTTCTCCAAGTCGATAAAGTTTATAGTGTTTCAATATTTTTCTCTTTGTTTTTTCCTATCACCTGTCTCATGATGAATCTACTATCAAAACCGAAATATAAATAGAGCTAAGTTAATTGAATAATTAATAAAGGAATAAATTAAGTAAAACTATTTTTATTAAACATTTTTAAAATGTATTTTTGTTAACTTTACATAATTATTTAATTGTAAAAATTTAAAGGTCCTTTCCCTTGGTGTCAAAACTAGGATTGGTTTGTGATATAGAGGCACTGAGACTATTATTAGTTATTTTCTGAGGCAAGGAATCTTCAGATTCCTTAATTTGTACTATTGGATTAGGCTGGTGTTGCGGTGCGGCATCAGGTAACATATAGCTTATAAAATAAGACAACACTGACCAAGGCATCCATCTGAAAACGAAACAGTAAGTATTAGATACATAAAAAATATATATGTAGGTACACATAGTTTCAATTATGGCAGTTTTCTTGATTAAAATTTGAATTATATGGCTTAAAATAATCGAATAAAAGATTATTTACTATGGCTGTTTTTCCAAATATTTTTATTATAAAATTCTGAAAGTATCTTAGTATATTGACATGTTTAATAAACTCATCGGCAAAAGTCTTGTATCTTTTGCATATTTGGAAAATAAGATACAATGAGGTCTTTGTTGGAAGTATGTTGAAGGAATCCCCAAATTTACGATTTTTTTATTACTAAAACTCAAGTTCTCTTATTATTACTATAATCAATAAGCAGGTCAGTTTAATCTCAAATTAATACTTTAGGAAACTTATCTAAGGTCATATTCACCAATAATCCTTAGTTTCTAAAACATAAAAACACCACTAACTAACGTGTATGCTTTAGCCCCTTCTTGCTCTGCTTGTTCACTTAACACGCTAACATGAACGACGTTTTCTGATCAGATTACCGTTGTCTAGGAGTTTGATCAGTTTGATCAAATAAGAAGGAAAATAAGAGAAGCTGAAGAGCCTTATTTCGCTGGAAAATGCCGAGAAATAGAAGACTTACAAAACAAATATAATAACTTCAATCTCCATAAGAAAGTTAAAGAATTAGGTGGGGTAGCAAAACAAAAAACCTCAATCATACTATTATAATATACATAATAGAATACACGCTAAGCTGGAGATGGATATTAGTGATTCCCAGTTTGGACTTCGGAATGGAGTGGGCAGAAGAGAGACACTATTTTCTTTTAACGTGCTGACCCAAAGATGTTTGGATGTTAATTGAGATCTTTATGTATGCTTTATAGACTACAGCAATGCATTCGATAAAGTAAAACATGACCGACTTATAGAAGTACTCAAAAACAAGAATCTGTATGTGAGGGATGTAACATTATGTTATTCCAAGCTTGAACGTATTTAATGAATAATTCTACTTTTGGCTCTAATTGATCAATCGCTCTTAATGGAACTGAGAGGTTGATCTTCTCTTCAAAGTATATCTGGAAACTTTTCCAGTCAGTATTTTTGTTCAAAAGTCTAGGGCAGCTTTTTTTTTGATAATATTGTCACTGATTATAAGGATAATTAAAGAGTGGTCCTAGTTATGTCCACTGCCTCTTTTACCTCTATGTCTTTGGCAGAAATATTTCTGACAACAAGTGAGTCAATGAGGCCTGAAAGTTTATTCGGGCCAGTAGACCAGTATGTTGGCTTTCCTGTTTATATTGCTTTGCCTATTATGTATTTCATTGCTTCTAAAAATTCTCTTTAGCAGTAGTCAGTCGTGACCCCCCATTGGGTTTATTTTGCATTAACATTGAAGTGTCCTCCAAGGATAAATATATGTTCTTGAATGATAAAGAAGTTTACATTTTGATTTTTCTTGACGGTTTGTAGAGGAAGATCTTAAAACCATGAACATCAGGCAGTGGCGAAGGAAAGTATCCGATAGGGCAGAATGGAAGAACGTTGTTAAGCAGGCCATATCTCATAAGAGTTGTAGCGCCATTAGCAGAAGATGTATTGGGGAAAGTAGACCGCTGTGATGAGTATGTAAGAGTTTTTACTTTTAACCTTTACTGATTTCTGATCTGAAATTCTTTAGTTCTATATCCTATTTTCTGATAGTGCATAATATTTTCTTTTAATATTACTGCACTACTTTCTTGGACTGCATTATCAAAGTGAGTAGTATAGTAAGTTTTATAACCCCTAAATCTAATACATGACTCATTGGTGAAATGCGTCGTCACACGTCGTCACCACGACCAAATTGATCGAATTAGGCTACGAACTGCCCAAGCCACGGTATTCTCCAGGTGCGACTTCTTTTTATTTCCAAACTTAAAAAAGTCAATCGCAGGATAGATATTTCAGTCGAATGAGGAGGTTATCGTCGTCACGGAGGACTTTAAGAATTTGAAGGCTTTGAATACCTGGAGAAACGTATTTTTTTAGAAGGATTAAAGAAGTTGGAGGATCAGTGGGCCAAGTGTATTAAGCTAAAAGGAGACAATGTTAAGAAATAAATCGCCACTGTGGTCAAATCTCACAAGAAGATATTCTAGACAATCCAATGCCATACAATTTTATTAAATCAATAATAATTATAACTAGAACAATACTTACAGTTTCAAAGGCATGAACCATCTAAAATATCCAGGCACAATTACTATATGTTCATCTTTCAATAAAGCGTCGATAGTTCTGTCGGCTACATCGTTTGCTTTCAGTCTCGGAAAGAATTTAGAATTTACTGCATCAAACATTCCCGTTTGTTGAATGAAATAAGGGCAAACTACTGTCGTTTTTATACCTTTAATACCCTGATTTTCCAATTCTATTTTTAAGGACTCATCGAAACCAACAGCAGCGTACTTTGATGAGCAATAGTCTACTAGTTTTGGTACTCCAATGTGGCCAGCAAGGGAGGCTATTGTTATTATATGACCGTTGTCCTTTTCTATCATTTTGGGTAAGAACGCTTTAACAGTCTAAAAATAAAATTATCGTTAAAATATTAAACTGTTGAGGGTTAAATTATTAAGTCTAAATGAGAATGTTCTATATTCAAATTAATTTCAATTCAAATACACATAATGAATAGTTTAAATAGTAAAAAATTCATTTCTGTTTTGTGTCATGCGTTTGTAATATACTTCTTGGTATGGACCCGATCCTTCTGTTTTTTATAATACGATATTTAGCGATCAAATTTAGGCATAACCGGGGCTATTTTACAAAAACTTGTATGGGCGATCCGTTTGCGTAGCAATTTGTTGTACATAAGTTTTGTATTGTAATTGTAAGTGTAAGTATTTTAATCGCAAGTATATGGGTATAAGACACTCCTGGCAGATAGTATAGGCCCGATATAACCAAGCGAACAAATTATATGAACTTACGTTAAGCAACAAATTGCTAAAGTTTACGAAGATTAAAGAAAATAATTTAATATGTAACAGATGGAGCGATGGAAGGATGGATGGAAGACGCAGACGCTCAGTCTGTTGCTTTTTCCAACAGAGCACGGTTGTATTATACCAACTCACAGTTTACCTCGAAAAAATTAATATTTTTTTAAATCCTAGGACGGTTGGGACCGATACCTTAAAATTTATTAACTTATTATTAATATTATTATTAAGATTTAGCCATACGGCTTACACTCCCTCTAAAGGGAAAACTCACTCATCCAGATACCTACGGAATCAAAGGGATTAAGCTCTGTTGGGACTCTTTCCGTGTTATCGACGCCTAGGTGACTTGGTATGTTGGAGTATCTCCCAAAAATGTTCGCACACATCTAGACGTTAAGAGTATTACATCTTTCTGCAGTTTACAAGGTCTATGTCATCATCTACAAGGTCTTGTAGAGATGTTCATTCAAGCCTAGCTTTTTTATGTTTTCGATAAGGTTCTTCAGAATGACTCTAGTAGTGAAGAGAATAATAGGTATTGTCTGGGTACTTTCCATTTTCCACTGTCTTCGTATTTGAATTTCCAGATCTTTTAAAAGGAAAAGATCTCCAGACCTGTACTTGGCGATCTTTTCGTTCTGCTTAACACAAACATTATTGTTGGGTATCGCCACATCAATTAGTGCTGTTTGTCTCTTTAGTTTATTAACTAGTATGAGATCTGGTCTATTATGTGCCAATGTTTGCTCTGTGAGCACAGTGCGGTCCCAGTATAGCTTGTAGTTATCATTGTCAAGTATACTTTCAGGAACGTATTAATAACATGGAAGATGGTTTGTTTGAAGAAGTCCCAGTTTGATGGCTATCTCTTGATGAAGGATCTTTTCTACTGAGTCGTGTCGTTCCTTATATTCAGTTGCAGCAAAGGCCTGACAGCACTCGGCAAGGTGTTGAATGGTTTGTTGAGCTTAACATCCATATCGGCATTTGTCATTTTGGACCCTAGAGTCTTTGATGATATATTTTAGGTAATTTTTGGTTGTTATAACTTGATCCTGGATGGCGAGTAATGAACCTTCTGTTTCAGTTAACAACTTTCCTGATTTCAGCCAATATTTCGACGCTATATTGTCGACATGGTCTTGACTGACCTCATTAGGATGTCGTTTGTGAAGAGGTTTACCCATCCAGGTGCGCATTTTTTCGTCCTTAGCAAGATGGTTTATGCGCATTTCTGGTTCCCTCAGTTTGATCGGTGTTGTGTCATCTACTGCACAAATCGCGCAATGTCGACTAGATGTCTCATCCTGCACGTGAAAATAAGTTCTTAAATTAGTAATGTGTTTTTCTAGTTGTTCACTTATATCCAGTCCTCGTCTTCCTAAATACCGCTGTAATGTCGTTCTTTCTACTGCACTTCGAGGATGGTGTTTTTGTGCCTTTGTGAGGTGTGTTCGTACTTTTCGCTGAAGATTCTCTATATCTGTTCTTGTCCATTTAACAATATCAAATGAGTAGCTAAGTGCGGAACATGCAGGTGTTCTTGTCAATCTTCCGCGCTTGCATTCCGAGGTATTTATACATATCATTTTCACTTATGGCCTCGATGTTCTGGCCGTTTTGCATATTGAATCCACTGGGTTGAACCTTTCCTTTGATTATATTTAAGAAACGGCACTTGTCAAGGCGAAGTGCATACTAATGTCATTAGAGACATTTTCCACTGTTTTCAGCATATGATCCAGGTGGCTTCGAGTGGAAGCCAATAGTTTTAAATCATCCATATACAATAGATGATTAAGCTTTGCCACAACAGTAGTGTTATTTTGATGCTAAAACTTGTGTCAGTTGAGTTTAGTAGCTGGGAGAGGGGGTTCATCGCTAGACAAAACCACAGTGTACTCAACGATTCTCCTTGAAATAGGCCCCGGTTGATTGCAATATTTTCAGTTTCGTTATTGTTTTCACCAGGTATTTGGAAGTGAATTTTTGTCTTCAAATCTGATATTATATGTTTTAAAAAGGTCACTATGTTAACATCGACTTTATATATTTTTAATATGACTATAAGTCATTCATGCGGCACTGAATCAAACACTTTCTTGTAGTCGATGAAAGCAGTAAAGAAATTTCTTTTTTTGCTATATGCTTGGTTACAAATGACAGAGTCGATGATAAGTTGTTCTTTGCAGCCCATGGAACCCTTAGCACAGCCTTACTGTTAAGGCTCTATGATATTGTTTGAAGCGCAATGTTGGTAGATACGCCGGGATACAGAGGATGTGACCAATTTATACAGAGTTGGAAGACAAGTAATTGGACGATACTTGGTTGGGTCTTGGGTGTTATGTTGATCTTTTTGTATTAAATAAGTTGTTCCATGGGTTAGGAAAGATAGTATTTTCTGCGGATTAGAAATACTGTGATTAATTAATGCTGATAAGCACTCATGAATACTCCAGAACTTCTTATGCCAGAAGTTCTGAATGCCGTCTAGTGTAGACGCGATTTCCAGTTATAAAGCTCTTTGATAATATTTGAAACTTCTCTAGTAGTAAAGGGTTCGTAGGGAGCAGTAACGTAATGTTGGCAGTTGTCCGCCGTATCTTCGATCCATCGAGCATTGGTGTTAAGAGCAGCTGGTGTGGAAAGTTGATTTTCCCAAAAATCATGGTTTCTTCTTGACTTGGATACGATTTATTGGCACTTTCTGCAGTAAAATTAAGTTTCCGATAGAACGCCTTCTCGACATTTTCAAAAAGCTTATTGTCGGCTATGGTTATCATTATGTCTTCAGCTCTTCTGATTACTTTTCTACTTGTTGTTCCTCGAGCATATTCCGTGATTTGACCAATGTCCCTACGTAATGCTTAAATTTTACATAGCGGTCGTTTTTCTCAAGGTGCATTCTGTTATCTGTCCTTTCGATATTAGTACCCCGTCGTGTTTTGATCTTAATGCTCATAACATTAGCAATTGCTGTTGTTGCACAGTAAATCAGCATATGGAAATATTCTAATGTATGAGCTTCCACGATATAATTGGGAAGGACTTCAATGTTCATAAATTGTAACAGCGCACAATAGTTTATTTTTGGTAGCGGTGGTCTGTCAAGTGGGTTTGTCCCATTAAGCTCTTGTACGGCACCTGCTATTTCTCGTACCAGGTTATCTGCAACTCCTTATTGTCCTGCTGCATATTTACAGGTTGAGTTTCTTGCATGAGGGGCTCAGGAATCTGCTTATTAGTGATTTTATTATGGACTTGATCCACAACTATCTGATGATATCGCGTCTAGTCTCTGGGATAAGATTATTTCTTATAATTACCCAGTATTTGTCTGCTATTTGCTGTTCAGAGACTTGAATCTCTGGGTACTCCCTGCAAAATTCGGCATAGAGATGTTGTCGATAACCGATCGTTTCTCGACCGAGATTCGTCACCTTGTAATAGAAACTCACAATGTTTTCATTTATAGAGACAGTCGATTTCATGTGCTGCCTCGGTCGTCCCGCTTGAGTGAGCACCGGCTGATGTTCCAGCGCAGCACCTTCAGCGAGTGAAGCTCTTGTTGTTGTTTGGCTCCCTTGTGGCTATTGTTGGGCTGTAGATGATTGTATACAGGGGCCCGCCTCCTCAACACCCTGCCACCGACGTCCCGCATGCTGTCACGTCCAGCGCCGGCTCCAGACGTGCCCTGACGTTCCCCAAACAGCGACCCTAAACATAAATCATTAATCTCCATTTTCATGGGTGTGCATTTTATACCTACTGCCAGGTGTCAGTTTTTATTCCACGGCAGGTAACCCTTCTATCCTCTGGGTATCAATGTTAAAAATACCCAGAAAGTATCCCCCATTCGCCGGATAGAAGAAGCGATAAAAACTCCCACAAGCGTTATTATTATTATTTATTAACTTTGAAAAATTTGTCTCTATCTGCCAAAATTTTTGAAAAAAGTTTTGATCTATGGTACCTTATATGAATTTTATCTAGAATTTTAAGCAAAATCTAAAAATGCAGTAATACATAGGATGTTCTATTTAACAGGCCAACGTTGTTCACTTTCGGTATAACCGTGGCATGACAAAAGTGGCATGTCTGTCAAAATATTTTCTTTAAGTTTGCCATAACTTGTAATCCTCGTAAACCAGTTTTAATAATTATCGTTTCAAGTAGTTTCCGATATATAGATAGTCTAAACTCGTCATGAAACACCTTGTATAATATCTTACTATTTAAGTGTATCTTTTTATTTCTTCCTGTAATATGATATTGACCTCTAAATCTACCAACAACGATCAAGTTTCTCATCATAATATAAAAACCGAACTTGAATTACACCGTTTCGCATGAGAGAAATTAATAAAAATTTCTCTTCTCTCTTACTCTAACATAATTGCTACTACTAAAAGTAGTCGTTTACTCCTGTATTATAAATCTATTACTTAAGTAATTTTGTTCGATCATATCAAACCATTTAAAGTTCATACTATTTTAGAATAAGTAATTACAGTGGTACATTTTAAAGAAAATAGGTAAATAGGTTTAAAATGTAAGTATAGATATATTACTACTACTAATTTACACACCTCCATATCTAAAGCAACTATTATACAATGTGCCGATGATTTTGTTGTTTATACACGTAGCAAGCATCTCGACAAATGCATCAATCGTTTGAATTCAAGCATGAAACTCGTTTTAAGATCTATAAGTGATTTAGGGCTACAAATCTCCGCAGAAAAATCCAGTTACAATCTTCACCAGGCATGATATGAAACCGATGCAGAAAATTACAATTTGGTATAGAATTTCCGGTGAATACCAATGTCAAATACTTAGGAATCACATTAGACAGAAAATTAACCTAGAAACTTCATATTGACCAAATAGAGACAAAATGCAAGAAAGAACCAATTTTCTTAAAATCCATTATGCGAACTTGGTGGGATGCAGAACCTCAAACAGCTCTAATCTTCCATAAAGCTTACAAGTTCAATAATTGATTATGGTTGTACAGGTTATGGAACAGCCAATAAAATAAATCTACATAAGTTCGATATTATACAAAACAAACCACTCAGAATATGTCCGGGAGCAATAAAATCTACACCAGTTGAACCGTTAAGAGCTGAAGCAATTGAACCTCCATTAGAACTGAGAAGATCATTTTTAGCTGAAAAAAATGATTATTAAGTCGCTACAGAAAAACTCACCATTCATTAGCGGCATATATAAGTTAAACAAATACGACCTAGCTAAGCCTTTTTGCATTCATACAAACTCTCCTCCTATTTGTGATGGATTAAGAAACGTGGCCTTAAAACCACAAACAAAGGTAGGGACCGACTACTTTGATCACTTTGTTTCCCGTGACGTGAATATACCCCTTTATTCGGAGTTAGCATCATTTAATAGTATAGTCATAAATCAAATTTTAGAGGAACATCCAAACTACGTCACTGATATACACTGATGGATCAAAAAACACCGATGGTACAGGTGGCTGTTTCGTAATACCTAAGCGTAGACAGAAAACATATAACTTAAACAAAAACACATCTATTTTCTTAGCTAAGGCAATAGCAATTCTAAAAGCATTAGAATATGTTCATCAGAAAGAGAATCAGAATGCTATAATTTTTTCCGATTCACTTTCCGTTCTTAAAATTATAAATTCAAACTCAAACACAACCAATGACATTATTTTTAGCATCCAAGCAATACTTAAACATTTACAAGATCAAAATAAAGATATAAAATTCTTCTGGATCAAAGCACGCGCAGGAATAACAAACAATTAAATTGCAGATCAAATTTACAAAGAACGCATAGTAATGGGAACAAATAAATTACGAATTAACCACAGATAAACAAATAATCATAGCAAAATAGAGAATGATGAAGAAATGGTCCTATTTATGGCAAGAGTACAGCTTTACAAATCCATCACTTTACACCAGTCTTGAAACCAAATTAAGGAGAAAACCTTGGTACAATGAGTGCGATTACAGTCGAAAAAGTATAACTACTATAAGCAGAATGAAGTTTGGTCACCAATGTTTTCCAGCACATTTATTTAAAATAAAAATACTTGAGAGTGATCTTTGTGAAGCCTGTAATAAAATCGGTGACCTGGACCACATCTTTTTTGATTGTTTAAAATATAGATTAATCTAATGAGCTTTTCAGAAAACGTTTAAATTTAAACATTGAAAGCCCATATAATATACTCCATCTTCTTGCTTTAGACAGAAAATAAATTTACGATTGTTTGCTGTCTTTCGTCAGAACAACTAATATACAAATATAACCACCTTTGTTGATACCTGATGTCTTTCCTTAATGTATGTATATCTGTCCGAGGGCTACCTTTTATCGTTTATAAAAATGTCCCGATGGGCCCCTGGGCGAGAAGAGTGTAATCCGTGTGTAATCATTGTATTTTATTTGTTTTTAAAAATTTGTGTCTGGCTGTGAGGGTATTTACCCCAAAGCCAATAACAAAAAAAGTGGTTATTAAATATTACAATATCTATTATTAAATTCATATTAGATTTCTTGTTGATATATGGAGACTACTTATCATACACTCCAAAAAATAAACAACAGTATGCCCTACTATTAAGATATATTAAATTTGTAGTTATTTCAGAAATTTGAAATATAATACTTACCCAAAAATGAGCAACCACGTTTACATCAAACGTTCTTTTTATTAAATGATCTGGGGTATTGAGCAACGTGTGTCCAGATACTACACCCGCATTGTTAATTAAAATAGAAACCTAAAACAAACACCTGGTTAGGACTAATCAAAACTCGTAATTTTAAGAAGTAGTTTCAGAGACACTCAAAGTTTAGGCTGTAATTAGTAGATGATCAACGAAGTCCATTGTGATTTATCTATAAACTATAAAGTCAATGTAGTAATTTAAATTTTGTATTTTCTAGTTAATAGTACCGATGTGTACCATCCAAATAAAAAATTCCAAAAAAATTCTAAAAATAACTTCCCTAAAATTTAAATATATGTACTTCAATTACATATTTACAGATAATTTTAATATAAGTTACCAACCAAACCGAAAGTTGCCAATTGGCTTATTTTAAAGATTTTCCTATAATTTTGGTCTGAAGCTATTTTCTTGTGGCATTTTAAAGTAATTGATATTTAAATGGGAATAAGCTACAATTAATGGTTAAAGTACGTTTACTGACGTTTCAATTTCCACTTCGGTAATCGTTCTCACAATACAATTTTAAAATTTTTTCCTAATGTTTGTATTTTGAGAACGATTATCGAAGTCGAAATTGAAACGTCAATAAACGTATTAATTTTAACCATTAATTGTAGCTTATTCCCATTTAAATATTAATTATTTCCATTAATTATCATAGAAGTCTTCTGGACTTCGATAAACCTACAACATATAAATTCTCCGCCAACATCCGATGTATCTTTTATTTGGCACTGACATACTCATGACTTTTGCATTAAGCCTTTTGGAATCGTACCCGCATGTAATCATTTATTAAACAGTTCGCTTAGTGATTTTAATAGAATTTCTCCTCCTGCTTTTATTGCCTCAATAACGAGTCCATCATCACCAGGCGATCGATTGTTCTTCATTTTCTTTAAAGCTGCTCTTACTTCTGACACAGTAATTGGTAAAAGTATTTTCGATACCTGATTTATGAGTCTTTAGTCGTTTCGGTTTCAATCAAAGTTAAGCTAGTACTAGATAATACAGAAATTGAACAAATATCTTCGTACAAATACTTTGGAGCATGGATCACAGAAGATATTGATCAGACAAAAGAATAAGATGCCGCATTGAAATTGCGCGGTCAACTTTTAATAGAATGAGAAAACTTTTTTGTAATCGCGATATCAATATATCGCTCCGGATAAGAATGCTTCGACGTTATATTTTCTCTACCCTTTTGTATGGAGTTGAAGCTTGGACAGTTAAAAAATCCAACATTTAAAACCTAGAAGCATTCGAAATGTGGTGTTACCGACGTATTTTGAAAATATCATGGATGGATCGCAAAACAAACGAACAAGTTCTCGAACAACTAGGAAAACAATGCGAAGTTTTAAATTCCATAAAAATCAGGAAATTGGAATACTTGGGGCATATCATGAGAGGTGAAAAGTACGAACTACTAAGGAATATAATGCAGGGTAAAATCAAAGGTAGAAGAAGCGTAGGAAGACGTAAAATCTCGTGGCTACGCAATCTCCGTGAATGGTTGGGATGCAGTTCAATTGAACTATTCAGGCGAGTAATCAATAAAATTATAATTGCCAGAATGATTTCCAATCTCCGATAGGAGATGAACTTGAAGAAGAAGAAGTCGTTTCGGGAAATTGTCTTGTGGTCTTTGGCTGGTATAGAGGTCTTTATAAAACTCTTTGGTTATTTTCAGAATATTTTGTGTATCTGTTGTTGCCTTTCCGTCTTTATCTCTCAGCTTGTATATATTTTTTTCATTTTGTGAGTTTTCTTTTCATTATCTTTAAACCTTTGTTCTCTTCTACTGTTTGAGTAATTACATTAGTATTATATCTTTACACATCTTTTCTAATTTCCGCTGAGATTCTTTTATTTGGTTTTCTATATTCTTCTTTGTTTCCCTTTTCGTTCTCGCTTATGTTTCGTCGTATTTCCATGAGAACTTTTGTATCTTTGCTAATCTTTTTACTTTCGGTGTCATTTTTCTTGCAAAATTTGAGTTGTGCGTTTCTAACCGAGTCTGTTATTAATTTATTGTGATTGATGTACTTAGAGGTTTGGGATTATTACTCTGTAAAGTTTCGGCTATATTTTTTATGTATGCTTCTGGCTGATTTGGTGAATTTCAAACTATGCGTTTGCAACTGTTTATCATCTTTGCTCTTTCTTTTTGTAGGTTTATCGTTACTCTAGCTCTTACTGGTCTGTGGTTGCTTCCTACTAATAGTTTATTGAGTACAGTGACATCTTGAGTAATTTGCTTCTAATTCCTTATCTGACCTAAAATATCTACTTTTTAAAGTCCCACTTTTGTTATAAAGTTCAAAAATTCAGTTTTTTGATTCACGTAGCAAAATGGAGAACATTCGTCTACGTATTTTAATTTTAATAATTGTTTTTTTCTTGATTAATTTCATTTTATTAATATTAATCATTATCAATCTTAAATTTTTTATATATAACGAATTTTGTTGTTAATGTTGTTGACTTTCATTATTATAAAACAAAATAAAGCTTGTTTTTGACTGGGACCTGTTATTTTAGTCTTAAACAGTTAATTTAAAATATACCACTTTCTCTTATGCCATTGCACTTTACAATATTTGTAATTATTCGTAAATCTTTGCCGACAGTTGAGTTTACCTTGTTTAGAAACTCGAGATTATTGTCATCGTTTACTAAATCTTTAACCTCTAAAAAACGTTTTTTTCTAGCTTGTATTTAACTATTTCACCAGTTTTTGTCCTGATTGTGAATTTTTCGTTAGAAACTTTTTCTCACTGAGTTTAGATAAACGTCTTACAACATTGCTGATAGTTGCCTATCAAAAATCTTTTATCTTTATAACCGTATCTGCCAGGGAGGTTCTCATTAAAATTCAATTTATTGTACCATACTGCAAAATATTCAACAAAAATCTCAAAATCAAAACAGGTGATGTTTTAATTAACTACTTAAGTCTGATTTCACAATGGGCGAGGGTTTTAAAAACCTTTCCAAACATTTCTAATTTGTGTGTATTTGTCCCATAAGAAGTTGTAAAGGACTTTTGGTTATGAACATTCATTCTGTGGGATTGGTATATATTTGTTGTTCGTGAATTTGTGAGGTAAGAATGTCAAAGTTTAAAGATATTTACTATGAATGTTTATATTTTACGGTTATGTTATTGTTTGATTAAAACGTTAATTATTTTTTACTGTATTTCAAAGTATTTTTTTGTTGTTTTTATCAGGGTATATAAAAATGTTTAAATTAATGTTTTTTTAATTGCGAGTGATTTTTTCCTGTAAAAGACTTAAGATATGATAAATGTCTTTCTTAACAAACAAATTAATTTTCCTTTACAATAAAATATTATATGACAATTATTATAGGGCAAGATTCAGTTTGTATACCACTGTGTAACAGCGGCATACAACTGCTCTTCCATCTAACCCCCCGAAGATAGTATAGATAGACTATATCTAAATAATAAAATTGTATTTTACAATGAATTTTACATTACATTATAACCTATTTATTTTTTTAAATTCTTAAATTTTTAAATTACTGTTCAGCTAACAACTGCTCATAAATTAATCTCTTGAACTTGACACTAGACAGATTTCTAATATTATAGGACAAACTGTTGATATTGAGCAATTAAATACGAAAATGAACGTCTAAAAAACATGTTGCATGTTTATGTAAAGTGAGGGTATTCTTGTGTCTAAGATTAAGATTATGAATGTCAGTCCTATAAGTTATTCGATTATACAGGTATGGTGGAACTCTCTCTTGAATGATTTTATGGTAAAAACATAAAGTTTCCGACGATTTTTCATATTTAGCTACTTGACTTCGATGAAAACATGACTTATCCTTTGAAATTTCCTGATGCCAAAAATCAAACGCAAACAAGAATTTTGTATTTCTGTATTCTCCATTAATCAAATTCAGTGATACACGCATTGTAAAGCACGTCACAATAATTTAATTTTGATAATACCAGAGCATTATATACATAATAATGACTTTGTGGCCCTACAGTAATTTTAAAACGGCGTAAGCTTTTTGTAAACAAATACGTACGTGATATGTAAACCTTAAATCTTCGTCGAACGAAACACCTTTTTACTTTTTTACAAGGCTTTTAATCTTTTTACTAAAAATTAAATTTTCATTTCCTAAGATAATTCGATTGGCATATTCTCCAAAAATATTTTTCTATGGAGATTCCTCCCAAACATGAAACCATGAGTTTTTCATGTATACAATTTTAAACAATGATTTTAAGAAAAAGTCTGCAGATGAAGAAGGTAATGAGTTATTGCATTTACTGCTTGATCACACTTATTTGGATCAAATTATATATAGAGTTGGGTATCGTCTGCGTAATAATGCTGTGAACAGGACAAAAACACAGAGGGAAAATTAGATGTGTATAATATAGAGATAAAATTGGACCTAATATAGATCCTTGAGGCACACCAGTATTAAGATCTAGAAATGAAGAAATCTTTTGATTAAGTTTTACTGCTTGACATCTATTAGAAAGATAATATTTCATTAGATCAACTACTCTCACTTCTAGACCAATATATTTTAAAATAAAGAATAACAAAGTATGGTTAATTGTATCAAAAGCTTTTGAGTAGTCTAGAAGAATTAGAATTGATATTTTGTTTTGGTCATAGGCTCTAAAAATATTATCTGTAATATTTAATAAAGCAGAAAGACTGGACTGCATCGTAGGGATTATGTGGTTATTTTTTAAATGCGTTTGTAACTGAATATCAATTACCTTTTCCAAAATTTTAGATAATGTAGGCAGTACACTAATCAGTCTTAATTCATTCATGCTTTCTGTAATTTTAGTCTTCGGTAAAGGAATAACATGTGCCCATTCATTTTTTCGTATTTTAAGTTGTAAAATAACGTTCTGTGTAAACTTTTTATCAAATTGCCATAATAAGTGTTTAAAAAAATGTTTTTTTAAATGTTGTAATAGTTTTTGAGTTTATTTTTTTTTATCTGGTTATATAATGAGTAGTAGACATGTGTTATAGATATCTAGTATTACTGACTTTTGCGATTATGACAACAAAACTACTATTATCTATTTAAACTACGAGAAAACGAATATATTTAGTCTTTTAGGGGATAAAATCATTAGCACTTTAAAAAGAATAAAACATTAATTTAAATGTTTTTTAACTTTGTAAATAAATGCAATGATTTATTGATTAATTCTGAAATAACCTAGATAAAAACAACAACAAAATACCTTGAAATACAGTAAAAAATAATTAAAGTTTTAACCAAACAATAACATAACCTTAATATATGAACATTCATAGTAAATATCTTAATACTTTGATATTCTTACCTCACAAATTCACGAACAACAAATAATACCAATCGCACAGAATGAACGTTCATAACCAAAAGTTCTTATTTATTGTTCAAACAATTAAAAAACCAGTATTTATAACTTCTTATGGAACAAATACACAAATTAAAAATGCTTGGAAAGGTTCTTAAAATCCCCGCCTATCGTGACGTCAGTCCTTAGGTAGTCCATGGCGGAAGATAAGGTCATTACCAAAATACTTGCAGATGCCGAATCCAGCCAAGGAAAGAAAAACAAAGAATGAGGTCAGAAGGTCACCTAGATTGGCATCCAGAAGCCCGTCATATAGTCCTACTAGAAATACTTGAAGATATGGTTTAATTTCAAATAAGGGGTTAAATAATGAAACTTTTCACGCTTCGGTCCTTTTATAGCGACTTTATTTAGAAAACTGGCAATCTATAGAAGAAAAACATAACATAAGGGTAGACATGAGGAACAAAAACTAAAAGTATAGTTATCCATTCCATATTAGGGAAGACGATTAATTAATAAATGAAGTTGAGACCGACTTAGGGATACTAGAGATCAGAAGATGGCAACACATAGCTAGAAAACCGAACAGAATAATGACTAACCTTGGAGCAGGCCAGGATCGACAGAAGATTATCGAGCCAAACATGATGATGATGATTATTATTTATAAATTCTTATACTGGTCGTGAAGCTTTCGATTTTATAGTATATTTAATTTCTATAGCATTTTCTTTTTTCCGCGTGGGTTTTTAGTACGATACCTTTAAATATCTTAGATTTTTCTTAATCTCCATAGTGACTCACCCAAGGTATTTGATCTAATTACTATATTTGAGTTTTTTTTCTTAAATACTGCTAGCTTGAATAAATATAGTTAACATTTTTAGATTTTTAAAAACATGTTAATGCTTTAAATCATGACTATTAACAATTTTTCTTTCTACATGACCTAATATTTGTTTTATCTTTTAATATATTTTTTAATGTTAATACTTACATCTCCAATGTCTTCTTGTGTTTTCTTAGCTACTCTATATACATCTTCCTTATCAGCTAAATCACATTTGTATCCATAGGCTTTTCCACCTACTCCTTTTACTAATCCTACGGTTTCCTCCACAGCTGTAACAAAATCTAGATTAAACAACAGGAACATGTAATCACCTAATACTATTGTTACGTAAAAAAATATGAGTCATATCAAAAACCTGTAAATATATTGTTCATTCACTTTTATGTTCTAGATTTTATAAGCTGGCAGAAATTCCAGGTAATATCTACCTGAAACGGTCGCTCCCCTACGATTCGAAGGTTCCAGAAACCGGTCGAATGAAGACCCGGCCGATTGACCTTCTAGTCTAGTCAGAGGGAATCGCCGGAACTCTCGAAATAACGGCATGTTATATAAATAGAAACCTTTTTGCAGAAAACTCCAGTGAGAAGACGATAGCGCGCCTAGTTTAAATGTAACGCTCGTATAAATAAATTATGTAAGATAAATTAGTATAAATAAACTTTAAATTAAGTTGTGAGTGTTATAAATATAGAACCTTTGATAAATAATAAAAACAATAAATTAGAAGTATCAAAAATACAACACTATCAAATTAGTAAATTCTATATGATATGATATAATTATATCCAGTGCATTCAAAAATTAACGCATAAATTCATTATTAGCTAAATAAACAACAGTATTAGAAACACCCGAAAAAGTTTGATTTTTTATTTTAATTTACTATATTTTCGAATTATAATTTAATATACAGGGTGAACCACCTTAGTATGATGACGTCCTGTAATGCAACTCCCAGATAAGTAACTGCTAAAGCCATCTACTATGGGAAGAGAATATCACACTCTCTTCAATTGTGATTTCTTGTTTATTTTCTTTAATCCTGTCCGCAGGTATAAAGGGGGTGTCCTCGGGAATGTTGCTATGCTGTACCTGCAGACAGGTTGCAACCTTTTAAGAAAACCCTTATTCATTAAATTGCGTTGAGAATTAGTCATTAACTCTTTCCAGTCAGATGAATTTATTTGACAGTTCTATTAGTAAGCGTTACTCACATTTCAATGTAAATCTTCGTAGTGAAACAACGATCATCAATTCATTGTAAATTTCAAATCATTTTAAGGTGAATAATTGAACCAATAATTGTACAAAAAAATTTATTTTGCTTACATTGTTTTTATTTGATAATTTGCATTATAGTTTGCTCATATTTACAAGATTATTTATGTAAATATTATAAATATCAATGAATCCAAATGAAATTATTGGGCCATTGTGGAGGTCTCTAATGACATCATTGAAAAGTCGTGTGAATTTTGTTTCTGTCAATAAAATACAAAAGTACAATATACTTTTTTATTTCAGACGGATCGTGTGTTCAAAACTACCAAAACCAAACTTTCTTTTCGGGAATTGTAAAATCTGTCCCAGGAAGAAGTAGTTGGTCTTCTTGACGACTCTGATATCGAATTTGGTGTTGATAGTGAGGAAGAGACTTTGAAAGAAGAAATGATTGAAGAAACTCAAATAGAAGAATTGTTGGAAAATATTGTTGAAGATAGCTTGAACACCCAAGTTACAGAGAATATGAAAGAAAAAACTGTTGAAGAAATTACAGAAGAGCCACAGACAAGTTATGCCAAGAAAACAAGGATGGAAAAACCAACTTATACAAACAACAAATTAATTGATGCAAACAGCGTATACAGTGGTGATTTTTCGGTTGATGAAAATATTTATACGCCTTTCCAATATTTTAAAATGTTTTGTGACAATGATATTATTCAAAATTTTTCTGAGCAGACAAACTTGTATTCTATGCAAAAAGACAGTAAAAAGATTGATACAAATGCAGCATAGATAGAGCAGTTCTTAGGCATACTTGTATTTAGTGGAATTGTTCATGTTCCTTTCATTGAAAAAGTTCGGCAAAACATGAAAAAGACAGAACCTGAGGAATTCAACAGCATCGATGAGTTTATTATACCATTCACAGGACACAGTAATCTAAAGCAATATATAAAAATAGAACTCATAAATGGGACATAAAAAGTTTTTGCAAGATTGGGACACAGCAGCATACTATACGATTTTAAGATATATGTGGGGAAAGATATTACTGGGGAAATAGTACTGAAGTTGGCCAGAAATCTGCCAAACCACATGAATTACCAGATTTTGGTTCACATCTTATATTCTACTTATTAATCTGAAAGAACGGGGCTTCTTTGCTGCAGGGACTGTAAGAAGTGGGCAGCTGGCAGGTTCTCTTTTTTCAGAAGACAAAGTTCTAATGGCAAAAGATCGTGGATCCTCTGATATAAAAATAAACAGCAAAAAAATATTTACTACTCTCAAATGGTATACCAATAAGTCCGTCATATTAGCATCAAACTATATAGAAAAATATCCTCTTGATAAAGTGAAGAGATGGTGGAACAAGAGCAAAACCTATGTAGAAATCGAACGGCCAGCAATTGTCAAAGAATATAATATTTCCATGGGGGTGTGGATTTGCATGACATGCTTGTTTAACTATATAGAATCAGAATCAAACCAAAAAGATTCTATTTGAGAATAATATTAAATCTTATTGGTACATGTATTGTCAACTCCTGGTTGCTGTACCGAAGACACTTCAAACAAAAACAAGTGAAACACATCACCATTCTCCAATTCAAATCTGAAATTGGACATGCGTTAAAGCTGTAAAGTCCGACATTAGAAAACGAGGATGTCCTTCTCAAGAGAATACACCAAATAAGAGACAAGTAGTGCATCCTGCACCAGTGCAAGATATTTAATTTGATGACGTAGGACACTGGCCACTACATGATCAAAATCGTACAAGGTAAAAATTATGTATATAATCTTACTTTAGAATAAAATGTTCTAAGTGCAATGTATTTTTATGTAGAAACAATAATAAAAATTGTTTTTATGGTTTCCATGTACAAAATTAAATTGTTAATAGTATAAGTGCATTAATAAATATATTTCCTATTATAGTCAATTTTTGCACTTCGGGTGATGAAGAACAATAAATCCCCAGGTGAAGACAAGGTAATTTGTTGACTACGATAAAAGCTTTCGACACAATAAGTCATCAAAAGATGTTAAAAGCCTTAACAGAGTGCCGTATAGATCTTCGCTATATAAACATGATAAAATACATCTATCAAAATGGGACAGCAAGCGTGAAACTGGCAGATAAAAAGACCAACGTATTTAAAATAAAACGGGGAGTGCGACAGGGAGACACAATTTCGCCAAAATTGTTTACAACATTATTAGAGCATATGTTTAAGAACGCAAATCTGAGTGAAAAAGGAATTAATGTAAATGGAGAAATGCTTAGTCATTTGAGGTTTGCTGACGATATTGTCCTTTTTGCTGACAGAATCGATGATGCAGTATCGCAACTGGAGAAACTATACCTACCTCCCTACAAGTTGGAATACAAATCAACCACACAAAAACACACATCATGACAAATCTTGTGTTAAGCGAAAAGATTTCAGTAAATGGCGTGCATATTGAAGAAACCACCTCTTATAAGTACTTAGGACATGAGATACGCATAGGAAGAGATAATCAAACGTGCGAACTAAGCTGCAGCATAGGACTCACTTGGGTGGCATTCGGCAAGCTGAGCTATGTTCTTAAATCAGAACTGTCTATGTGTCTTAAAAGAAAAGTCTTTAATCAGTGCGTGTTGCCAGTACTTACATATGGTGCAGAGACATTAACACTAACCAAGAAAGTAAGAAATAAAATTTTTGTTACCCAAAGAGCCATGGAACGATCGATGTTAGGCATTTCTCGTAGGGATCGGATCACGAACAAGGAAATAAGACGGAGAACAGGAGTGACAGATGCCATAGAAAGAATTATGACCCTTAAGTGGAACTAGGCGGGGCACATAGCTAGAATGTCGGACAACAGATGGACACAGCGAATAATACAGTGGAGACCAAGACAAGAAGCACATCGAAGTAGAGGTCGTCCACCAACAAGATGGTCTGATGACATACAACGGATCGACAAAAATTGGATGCAAACAGCACAAAACAGAAATACATGGAAAAGACTGAGGGAGACCTATATCCAGCAGTGGATAGATCCGGGTTAAATGATGATGATGATGAAGTCAATTTTTTACTAGACCACCATATCAATTACCCATACCAATAAATGGATAATTCAGGTACCACCAACGCGGATAATTCCAAATGGGATCAATATTTTTTTGAGTTTAAAGACTCTAGGATGCAAATTTTTTACAAAAGTTATCAAGAATTATTTTTTCTTGTATGGTTTCCTACAACATAATTTTTCAACAAAATTTATTGAAAAAAAAAAAAATTTGGGCTGGAAAGGTTTAAGACACTTTTTATTATGTGGTCATCAAGTCCAGCTGTTGATTAAGCTTTTGCATCTTCTTATAATATTTGAAACAACGGACTAAAAGATAAGAAAATTAAAAGTGTCTTCAAGTACAGTAAGCCGTCTATACAATCACAGTTAGATCTTTATTAAATTTCATTATCCTATATTAATGTTTGTCCTAGATGAAAACTACATATTACCTTTAAATTACCATAAATACTTTGGTAAATATTACGTATGTGACAATATGTCTATGTGAACAAAATTCAAATTATTTCATTTAAGCTTGTAATTATCTCTTGTAATTACTGTTTTTCTTTATTAATTTATGTTTTAAATTTGTTGACTACGAATTCTAATATTTTTGGTTTAATTAGGTATTTAAAAGAACGTCAAGCTCAATTTATTAGATAAATGCTGCTTATACAATACAAACCATAAATTGTACCAAATTAATAGCGGAAAACACTAATTACAAGAGAAATTAGATATTTCTACTATTTTATGCTAAATTATACATTATTACATAAGATACTTTGAATTTTACTCACATACATAATATTACCACATACTTGTTTGCATGAACAAAATTTTTTAACCCATTCACCAAAGTATCTAATACATATATTTGTATATATTTCTAATTACCATAAAACGGATAAATATATACCTACATATAATAATAATTTTGCAGGTATTTTAATTCTTTCCAATTTTA